TGAAACCTAAATCTAAATAGCCTTTTTCAAAAAATGAATTAACAAACTGATTCTAAAATGTATACATAAAAATAAATTCTAAGGATGGTCAAACCACCCTTTAAGAGAAACAAAGGAGAGCTTACTCTTCCAGATGTGAAGACTTATCAGGAAGCCTTGATGATGAGCTAGTACAGATTGGGTGCAACCGGAGAGAGCAGTCTGGTGGGATCCCGTAAGCAACCTAGAAACAGTGCCCTGCACAGAGTGGCTTCCTCCTCCTCTTCTTCCTCTTCCTCCTTTTTTTCTCCATCTCCTCCTTATCCTTCTCCTCCTTTTGGTGTGTGTGTGTGTGTGTGTGTGTGTGTGTGTGTGTGTGTGGTACCAGGGATTGAACCCATGGCCTTCACACTGAACTGTATTTTCCCTTTTTCTTGTTTGAGTCAGGGTCTTATTAAGTTGTCAAGGCTGGGTTCGAACTTGTGATCTTGCCTCAGCCTCCCAGAGTGCTGGAATTACAGGTGTGCACCACCACCCCTAACATAGATGGGCTTCTGGGTTTTTTTTTTGGTACTGGGGATCGAACTCGGGTCCTTCTGCTTGCACAGCAGGCGGCGAAACCACTGAGCTAAATCCCCAGCCCAATGGGCTTCTGGTTTATGGTTGTGGTGGCTCTAAAGAGCAGTGGGGAAAGGATGTCTTTTAAATAAATGGACATCTGGATAGTCATAGGGAAAGCAGTGAAATTTGACCCCAGTGTACACATTAACACAAAAATCTATCTCAGTTAAATGCTTCTAAATGTCTAAGGCAAAACAGTAAAGCTACTTTAAGATAATATATACGGATGTTTCTCATGATCTTTGAAATAGAGGACTTCTTTGAACAAGACATTAAAAAATAAGAGAAAGTATTAGTATATTTGTGTTGAAATTAAGAACTTCTGTTTAAAAAATCATCAAGAACTTGAAAAGACAACGATAGTGTGTGAGAAGATACATGGTCTACCTTTCATATCCTGGGATTCTGCAGATCAACAATATTTAGAAAGGGCAGGGAATTTAGCTCAGTGGCACCGCACCTGCCTCGCAAGTGCAAGGTCCTGAGTTCAATCCGCAATACCAAAACAAAACAGAAATATTCAGAAAAGTATGAATCTGTACCAAACATGTACAGACTTTTTTTCTATCATTAGTCCCTAAATAATACATTACAGCTATTTACATGGGATTTGTATTGTATTAGATATTATGCGAAATGTAAAGATGATTTAGCATATATGGGAAGATATGCATAAGTTGTATGCAAACACTACATCACTTTATACAAGGGATTTTGGTGTCTGGGGAGTCCTGGGTCCAGTCTCCCATGGATACTGAGAGACAAGTCTATGACTGACAAGAGTCTCTTATTCAGAATACATAAAGAATTGTAATCACTAAAATATCAGACAGCCAATGTAAAATCAGTGGCCATAAAACAAGACTCTCCAAATAACTAATAAACACAGAAAAATATGCTTACTATCATTATTCGTCAGGGAAATGCAAATTAAAATTGTCTTCCTATGCAATGAAATACTACTGTACAATCAGCAGTGGTTAAAAATTAAACTGTTCATAGTATCAAGTGTTGGCAGGGATATGGACAGCTCATATACAGCTCTCAGAGGTGAACCTTCCATGCACTGCCAGTGGACCTAGAACTGGACAGAATCACTCTGGGAAAGAGTTTGGTGTCATCTACTAAAATATAATATATGCATTCCCACTCTTAGCTATCCACTCATCAAGAATGAATGCGTAGGGCACCCAGAGCCATGTACAAGAATGTTTAGGACTGTTTTGCAATCATCTGAACACTGAAAATAGTGAAAATATCTGTCAACATTGTATGTCATGCAAAGAAATGCTACAACAGTGACAGAATGAATTAAAGCTCAGAATATGGATGAACTTCATAAATATAATGTTATGTGAAAGAACCCAGGCAAAATAAATGATAGAGGTTTCATATAAGGATACACGTTTAGCCAGTGAAAGCAAGGAAATGATTATCCTAAAAATCAGGAGTAGTTATCCTTGGTGGACAGGAGGGTGGCAGTTGGAAGAGGATGTAAGGGGAGGACTTACGGGATGGTAGAGGAATGTGCCTCTGTGATAAAGCATTGAGTCAAGGAACGAAACAAAGCACCGGAAGGAACATCGAAGGCATAAACCTCACGAACAACACTCAAAGCTGGAAGTCATTGGAAGAGTTGCCTTAAAGTTTTGAGAAAAAACAATTTTCGACTTAGAAGACAAACTGTCAGTCAAGGATGAGAGCAAAGTGAAATCTTTTATCATCCATATATTCTTTCTGGGGAAATTCCTTGAGGATGTAGTCCAACTAAAAAGACAAGCCAGCCGTGGTGGCACACGCTTGTAACCCCGCACTTGGGAGGCCAAGGCAGAGAATCTGCGCAAATTCAAGGCTCGCCTGAACCACACAGTGAGACCCTGTCTCAAAAAAAAAAAAAAGAAAGACAATACAGGAATGTGTACTTCAAGAACCGTGGAGGTCACTGGAAAGAAATCCCAGGGTAGTAGTTACACAGCAGGCTTTGAGAGAAGATCCAAGAAAAATGGCTTCAAAAAGAATGGGATGAACTCCAAATGATAGATAAGTACTGGTGATGGGCTTAAAAGGATATATTTTCTTTAATAAGAAAAGAATGTTTATTAGAAACTTGAGGGGTACTAGACAGCTGGAAAAAAATCATGATCTACATAAAAAACAAATTTAAAAGGACATGATGTTCAGGGGCCGGGGATTTAGCTTAGAGGCTCCGCAGCCTGCCTCCCAAGCATAAGGTCCTGAGTTCAATTCCCAGTACCAAAAAAAAAAAGGACATGATGTTTGAGTAGTTCATGAAATATAAGAAAAGAGAACCCATTCTGGAAACATTTTCAATTTTTATATGTATGAGTGACAGCAAAGGTCATGTAGTCTTAGAAAATGAAATGTGATCCCAGCTATAGAACTAGAAATGTTTACATGTAAGTTACATACATAACCCATTGTATTGGTTTTCAATTTTTAGACACATCCTAAAGAGGAACACTGAAGGGGTTTTATTTTTAACTACAAAATAAATGGGTTAGTAAGCTTGACCATTTAAGGTAGGAGTTTGGAGGAAAGGGAGGAGGATAGAGAGACAGAGGGAAAAGGGAATGGAACATAATAGTCTATTTTTAGCCTCGTAGTAGTCTCATATGATGGTCTCATTTCTTGTACTGCGAGGTTCTTTTAAAAGTTGACAGAACGAGAAGTTTAGACATGTTATTTAAAGTTTCATAGGTAACCAAAGAAAAACCTAAAAATAATATGAGAACAAACCTTGATGGTGTTGGGGATTTTAAGTAAGTGGCTAATCCTCAGTTTTCTTGTGGAGAGTAAATAGTTCTTTCTAAAGTTGATAAATGAAAAAGCGATGCTAAAAATATACTTTTTGGGGTTAAAAAGTGATCACAAGAACCCAAACCGTGAATAATTGGTCATTCCTCTTGGAGTTGGAACCAGGAATGGAAAAGCATGTGTTCACTTAGATGCTTAGAACTGGTCCATCTGGCTCATTTGGGACAAAACATACTGATCAATAAAAAGAATATGTCTATCATATGCTGCGTATTGTTTTGAAATATATATACATTGGTGGAATGGCTGTAGTTACTTAACACATTCATTACCTCACCTTTTGCTGGTGAGAGTACTTAAAGTGGATTCTCAGCAGTTTCTAGGAACAGTGCTATTAACTGCAATCCCCATGTACAGCAGAGCGCTTGAACTTTCTCATATCCCTTTCTAACTGAAGTTTTGACCAAAAACTTTGAAAGATGTATCTGTTTTCAAACGTTGAACCTTAAAAATATTTAGATACAAATATATGCCTGTGTATATGTATGTTGATGATTTGTTTCACAGATACATTTATCTTAAATATATTATGCCTCAGGGCCAGGGATTTAGGTCAGTGATTCCGGCGCCTGCCTCGAAAGTGCAAGGTCCCGAGTTCGATCCCCGGTACCAAAAAAAAAAATTGTTAAATTAAGTTAGACTTGTTTGACCCAAAAGCATTATTAATAGAAAAGAATAAGTATAACCAGTGTTATAAACTTAATAGAATAAATAAATGGATGCAATATGTAAAATGATGCCTACTTCTTAAGTAGTCTTTAGTAGCTTTTAATCTCTGATGATTAGTAGTCAAAAAATAATAAAACTAATGATATTGTTAATGGTAATTTGAAATCTGAAAATGGCTACTCAATTCTTCATGTTTATTTTCTGGAGGGAAATGAACACCAAATTTTATGACAAAATGTTATCAGGTGCTGGAAACACAGGGCCTAGATTTTATATTATTTATTTAATTTTTTTGGGTACTGGGGCTTGAACTCGGGTCCTTGCGCTTGCACAGCAAGTGGCGAAACCACTGAGCCAAATCCCCGGCCCTCCTAGATTTTATTTTTAACTAGAGTAAGAGGATTTACCTTGAGCTAAGATGTTTTCATCTTGGAAAAACACATTCAATCAAACTTAGATTTATTGGATTATTTTCATGAATTCAGCCATTTCCTCTGCTATAACTCCAAAAATATTTTAATCAACGATGACAGTGAATTTTTCAATTTCTTTACTTATTTAAACTGAGGATTTCATTTCTTGATGTCTTACGTGCTCTGTGTTAAATTACCTGGTTCTGAAAATAATAATCTCAACTAACATACTAAAAGTGCAGTTGCAGAGGCTTGCTCGGCTCCTCCTAGCTACGTCTCCATGTCCGTGCCTCCACAGAGTGGGTAGCACTAGCCTCAGCCTCTTGGCTGGCTCTTCGTGTGCAAGGCCTGTGCCTGGAATAAAACAAGCACAAAGATTTTCCTTGTTCATTTTTTAAAAGATAGTACATTTAATGTATAGTCTCCATTGCTGTTTCTCCAGAACCGTTCTAACGAATTGCTTATTGTATTTCCTAATTATAGTGCTGCTTTTGATACAGTTCTTGGGATTAATGTTGCAGTCAAGAAACTAAGCCGTCCTTTTCAAAATCAAACTCACGCAAAGAGAGCTTATCGTGAACTTGTCCTCTTAAAATGTGTCAATCATAAAAATGTAAGTTATACCTAAGTTTCCTCGGTATGCCTGTATGTTGACAATGTGATGATCTTCAGGGTCTTTTGACATACATTCAGTTCAGACCGGGGATGAACCAATGAGAACATGCCTGTTTGTTTATTTATTTATTTAGTGGTGCTGGGGATTGAAACAAAGGCATTCACCTTGAGCTACATCCCCACCCCTTTTTATATTTTATTTTATTTTTTTTGTTGTGGTTTTGGTTTTTTTTGGTTTTTGTTTTGGTACCGGGGATCGAATTTGGGACCTTGCGCTTGCAAGGCAGGCGGCAGCACCACTGAGCTAGATCCCCGGGCCCAATTTGATTTGATTTTTATGTAGTTTGAGATAAGGCCTCACCACGTTGCCCGACCTGGGTCGGGTTTGTGATTCTTTTGCCCCAGCCTCTAGGATTGTTGGGATTAAAGGCATGTGCCTGCCACCATGCCTGATTTATTTATAAGTTTTAATTAGCACTGGGAAAATTGAAATTAGAAAGATGAGTTGTGTTCCAGAGGAATTAGGTCACTCAGTTAAGGTAGAAATGCTGATTTAATCCTGTAGCCATTTGGTTTCATAAAATGAGAACAATGTATTTCTGTTTTCATTAAATGAGAACAGATATTAACCTAATACATTGAAAAACAACTAAATATTTTTTGGAAGAAAGTTGCATATGTAGCTTTTGCCTTGTATACAGACATCTCAGTTTTAATTAAATACCTGTTATTAGTTGATGTTTCATTCAGGATAGCTGTACTTGGCTTTTCCATAGTAATAGGCCACTAAATTTTTAGTAGAATTAATAATACGTCTCTAGAAAATGAAGTTTTTCTCAAGCATACCATTTGTCTTACTAGTGATCTCTAAGCAAAATTTATATAACCTTGCCTTGTGGTAAAAATCATAGAATGTGAAATCTGGAAGAGGTTTTGGAAATCAACTCACAAAAACATCCACCACCCCCTCCTTTGGGAGAGGGAAGAATGTTTAAAATTACACTAAACTATATATTATTCCCTTTGTTTTAAATTTGTGCTGGATCTTTTTAGGATAGGGATATTAAATATGAAATGGATAGGTTTGTTTTGAGTCTGTGGTTTGGATTAGTTTTAATTTTTCCAATGCATGCTTTATTTAAATTTTTTAGGTTTTAAAAATACTATTTTTTTTAAAGTTCAAACTGTAGGGGGCCGGGGATTTAGCTCAGTGGCACTGTGCCTGCCTCGCCAAGCGCATGGTCGTGAGTTGGATCCCCAATACCAAAAAAAAAAAAAAGTTCAAACTGTATATCTAAGAAAGCAAAACTCCTGAAGTCCCTCTGCCCACAGACCACTAGCATTAACATTTTGGTGAGCATTTTTATGCATATTGTGCACATGTATATAAACAAAATCAATCATCCTGCTTCTTCCCCTGGTGGATACTTTAATGAATATAGATATAACCCATTTTTGCTTTTTGTTTTGTATTTTTGGTACCGGGGATCGAACTCGGGACCTTGCGCTTATGAGGCAGGCTGTGGAACCGCTGAGCTAAATCCCCAGCCCCTATAATCCATTTTTAAATGGTTGCGCAATACAGATGCACAATAACTTATTTAACAAGTTACTGTTATTGGATAGATTATTTCCAGTTTTTTTGCTCGTATAAACATGGTGCAATGAAGACCCTTACACATGAGTATTTGCACATTTATCCAGGTAAATTCTTATTCTGCAAAGAATCCCAACACTTCTGGCTTCATATATACTGACAAATTGACCTCAGTGAAGACCATCAGTTTTATACATTCATGAAAAGTGTCTAAGAGTATCTTTAACTTCAGAATCTCCCAACATTACATTTTGCTGATCTTTTTTTGCCAATGTGATAGATGACACATAATATCTTTTGTGAAGTTGAATTTCCATATGTTCATTAGTAAATTATTTTTATGTTATTGAGAATTTGATTTTCTTGGTCTTTGTCTATTTTTGTCTTGGACTGCTAGTCTCTTATGTATTCATTGGAAGCTTTTATATAGTCAGCTTTTTAAATTTCACGTTATTTATGTTGCTTTTGCCATACTGATTTTTTTCTGTGTGTTTTAGTTTTGTTTTAATGTAATCAAATGTCCTAGGTTTCCCATCATGCTGAGAAAAGATTTTTCTGTACCAGGATTTCATAAACATTTATCTCTATTCTAATTTTTATAGTTTCGTGTTTTAGATTTAAATCTTTGTTCCATTTTTAGTATATCCTGGCATAAAGATTGCAGTATGAATACTGTACTAATTTCTCCTGTGACTAGCCAGTCACCCCAGTCTGATACAGTGAACAGTTCATCTTTCCCTGGTCATTTGAAATGGCCGAGGATGTGTGAGTGATGGTCAAAACAGTAAGCCTCCTTTTCTGCAACCATGAAGGAAGGAAGGAGGTCTGTAGTTGTGAGGCGATTCATCTTTGTGATACCAAAAAATACTCATTTAGCCTTCATATATCTAAACTTTTAGAAATTTAATTCAGATTTTCACACTTAACATATTACTCGAATTAGTGTTTTCACACACATAATTCTTATTCTTTTACATTCAGAGCCAAAAAAACATTGCATTTAAATTTTGTAATAATAATGTAATAGGGACATATAAAAGTGGTTGATTAAAAGTGCATCTTTTTTTTGTATTAAATTCTTTTATTGGTACCTTGTAGGTATACAACACAATTACATTTCTCATTGGGAATTGTACCTTTACGTCATGCATCTTGGTTCTTATTTTTTCCCCATTCCTAGCCCTCCCTTCACCCCCTCCACCCTTCTGTATTTACAAAGACTTTATTTCCATTTTTTCCATTTCTCAGCATTTTTCCTTTCCCTTCTTTCCTTTCCCCTGCCCCTCCCCTACCCCTTTGGACCTTTTCTTCCTATTTTGCATTATCGATTATTCATTCTAATCATTGGTCCATTTTAGGTATACAATATAATGACATTCATCATTGGAAATTTGCACCTTTACATAGTCTCTCCTGGTTCATATTTTTCACCCTTGCCCAGCCCTCCCTTCAACCCCTCCATTCCTCCCTATTTACAAAGATTTTGTTCCTATTTTTCCATGCCCATCAACTGGAGATTGGATAAAGAAAATGTGGTTTTTTTATAAAATGGAGTACTACTCAGCCATAAAAAATGAGAAATTGGAGACATTTATAGCTAAATGGATGCACATTGAGGCCATCCTCTTAAGTGAAATAAATAGGACACACATGTGTAAATACCGAATAGTTTCTCTGGTGTGAGAAACTGAAAGTGTAAATGGGGACTAAAATGTATGATAGGTCATGTGAAATAGGAAGAAAAGGGGCAAAGGGGAAGGAAGTGGGAGGGCTAGGGGAAAGGATAGAAGGGAATGGGATTAATATGAGAAAATGGAAAAATAGGAACATCTTATTTTTAATTGATGGTTAACTTTTTTCAGATGCCATGTAATAGAATGTTTTGATAAAAGCCACAATGATAATGCATACTGAGTTCTACTGTTGTTTTTTTCTAGTTTTAGTACTTTTTAATGTTCAATTTAATTGTTAAAATTGAGGAGACTCATCTGACATACTGGGCATAATTAATTTTCTCTTTTCAGATCATTAGTTTGTTAAATGTGTTCACACCACAAAAAACTCTAGAAGAATTTCAAGATGTGTAAGTATCGCTTTCGTTCAGCAGTGTACTATGCATCAGTGACAAAATTTAGAAAAGAAAGGAATTACTTTTCATACTTAGGAAATGTAGGTGGCCATACATCTCTAATTGTGTCGTAGATGCTTTTGTCTGTGGGTGACAAAACCAACAAACACGGGCAGCCAGCGGCGCGCTGCTTCTGTGTGCTTAGAGGGCTGCCCTCTGCCTGACTGTGAAAGGGCGGCTTGAGGACTCGGAGCAGGCGGTGACATTCACACCGCGCCCTGCTTTACTGAGCTATGGAGAGCTGTTCTCCAGTCACAGCCAGAACTTCGGGGTTCAGGCGGTACAGGCATTCTTTAAATGATTGTATCATTATTATATCATTAAGCAGTGTGTGTTTCCAGACCTTTTTTTTGAGACAGCTGAGCTACCCAGCCTGGGCTTGATCCTGTGATCCTCTTGCCTCGGTCTCGTAGGAGTGCTGGGCTCCTAAGCACGTGTCACCAGCTTACTTCCAGACTCTTAGGGAAAATTACTGAATGGGCAAAGTGAAACATTAGTAAATCATAGTGATTTATAATGCCCAACTTCATCCTAGATTCACTGCTGTATCCAGTCATCCCATAAGTATTTGATGGCTCACATGTGCTACATGCTCTCTTGGACTTGGTACATATTAGTGACCAACACGGGAAAATCCTTGCTATTAAGGGATGATAAACTCCCACGCAGAGCCTTCCAGGGAAACCAGGGAAGATGGCCAATAAACTTACTATGTAAGGAAAATGGTAGTCTGTTAGATTGTGTTCAGAAAAGTCACCTTGAGTCAGGGAATTGGAAGTGCTGGGGGTTGAGGTTCAGGCTGCAATTTGCGTACAGTGGTGTATGGGTCAGGGTTTTCTGGAGATACATACAGAAACGTGAAACGGGACTTGGAAAAATCGCCTCGTGATTATGGTGGTGGAGTCCTAGGATGGGCATTTGCAGGCTGGAGATCCTGAGATCCTATTAGTGTGGCTAATAGGGAGGCCAGTGGTCCATCTTTCAGTCTGAGGCACGGGCCTGAGAACCCTGGTGCTGCTGAGGTCTAAGTTCTGGAATCCGAAGGCTAGAAAGCCTGGAGCTCTGTCCAAGGCAGCGGAACAACTCTCTCTCAGCGCCTTCTGTATGCGGCCTCTGGGGGCCCTCAGCAGGCGGGGTGGTGCCCACTCAAACTCAGTGCAGATCTCCCCTATTTGTACACTCAGAATCATAGGCTGTCTCCTCTGGAAACGCCCTCCCAGATGTACCGCAAATAATGCTCTACCGAGCTTTTAGGCACAGAATTCCTTAATCTAGTCAAACTGATACCCACGTTAACCGTCACAGGCAGTGTGGGAAAGTGTGTTGGTTACATCTGAAGAAAGCCTCGAGAGAGGTGAGAGATTGAGTCTTGCAGATCATTTGGGTTGAGGTGGAGTGAAGGTCAAAGGAACAGGTGTGGCCTGGTAAGTGTCAAGACCAGCAAGAGGCCGGTAGGGCCAGGAGAGGAGGAAGAGAGGGTGAGCTCAGGGAAGTGGCAAGGCAGATACTACAGAGGCCTCTAGGTCACTAGAAAGAAGCCCCTTTGCTTTAAGGCCAGTCAGAGTAAGATTTCCAGCAAAGCAGTGAGCTCACAACTTGTTTGAAAGCAATAACTGGTTTCCGGGTTGAGAATCTGCCACAGGGAGGCTATTGCAGCAATTCACCTGAGAGATTATGGTGGGTAATAGGATGAAGGGAAGAGACTGGACACCAAAATTGTTTGGAATGGGAAGCCACAGTATTTGCCGATAGCTAAGATGCAGTGTGAGAGACAGAAGCTGAGAAATGTGTCTGGATGTTTGGCCTGAGCATTTGTAGGAGGAAGGTGGTGAGAAGAACAGATTTGGGATAGGGAACAGGTGGAATCAGGAGTTCCGTTTTAGACACGGACTTGGAGAAATCCATTGGACGTCCAGGTGGCAGAGAGAGTTCAGGAGAGAGGTCTGGGCTGAAGTTAGGAACTTGGAAATAGCCATGAGACTGGAGATCTCCAAGACAGTGAGGGTAGGTCTATGAGAGGAGAGCCAGGGGCTGGTTACTGGACACTCGAACAGAAAGGGCAGGGTGATCGGCCGGGAGTGTAGGCTTGGTCATTGGGTTTGGCAACATGGAAGTTATCAGTGAGGACACTTTCAGCAGTAGAAGCCTGATCAGCGTGGCATCGAGAAAGAACAGGGGGACTGGAGATGGCGCTCTGCATAGCTCTGTGGGGAGTCACACTTCAGAGGGAGCCAGAAATGCGGTGAGAGCTGATAGGGGGAGCAGGATTGAAAGTTTCTTTTTCTTGTCATGGGATCACTTTTTTAAAAATAAACTTTCGGAGCAGTTTAGATTTATGGCAGAATTCAGCAGAAGGTCCAGAGCTCTCACACAGTGCCTGCTCTGGCACACGTAGCTTCCCCACTGTCGGCACCCCCATAGCAGATGCACTGCCCCTCCAGAGCCGTGCATCTGTTAAAGATGGTGTACCTCTAGCAGCGTGTTCTGCACGCTAGTAAGAATAACCAAGTAGTGAAGACATTGTAAGAAGCAGGGCCGTTGATATGAGATTCTGTGTGCCATGATATAAAAGCTGTTTTGTTCTTAATTTGGAAGACATTGGTTAAGTTAGTTGTTTTTATATTCTTTGGAAACATGTTACAAAGTTCTCTTATACATTTGATTCTTTTCAAGATGCTTCACAAATACTTACAAAAAAATAAGTTGTCTTTTCATGTTACCACTGCAGCAATCAGATAATAAGTTGTTACTGTTTCATAACAATTTTGGTTTAATAACCAGAATGGAATTTTGGATAATTTTCATGAATGTAGCTGATTTTTTTTTCCTGTCCTCAGGTATTTGGTTATGGAATTAATGGATGCTAACTTATGTCAGGTTATTCATATGGAATTGGACCATGAAAGAATGTCCTACCTTCTTTACCAGATGCTTTGTGGTATTAAACATCTGCATTCAGCTGGTATAATTCATAGAGTAAGTAGTGACATGATAATTTTATTTTTAAAATAACTCATTTGGTTATCACAATCCACTAGGTCCAAGAGAAACGAATCAAAAATTTAGCATAGCTGAAAATCCAATTGAACTGAATCATGTTGTATTTCACAATGCTGTTTGGGTCAGAACACATCTGTGGTTTGTGGGAGCCCCATGAGAGCTGCAGAGGACGTGGGTGAGGGGCCACCACTTGCCTGCCAGCTCGTAGACTGGTACTGCAGAGAAGGACTTTGTAAATTTTTTTAAGCTTTTCATGTTGAAGTAACATAAATTTAGAGAGAAATCGTGAGAGCAGGACAAAGACCTTTCAAATGCCTTTGACCCAGATACACCCATTGTTAATATTTTTGCCATATTTGAAATCACTTTTTTAATGAACAAGAAATTTAGATTTGGGGTGAGGAAGAGTTAGTGGCCAAATATTGTTTGAACTGTGATGAAGTAACATTTAAAAAGCAAGGACATACAATGTAATTCTCTAAGCTGGTTTTATAGGTTTTTATTATCTTTTGACATGTGCTGCTGTATACGCAGAATATCATGATGCAATTTTTTAAAACACCTAAAATGTTGAGGAAGACTAGATACAGACATAATATAATTTATTTGGAAATATATATTCATAGCCTCCCCTAAATTTTGCTATACTAATTTTATTGACACAATGAACTTTATATTCGAACACTGAGAAGTCTTCTTTGAACTAAAATCTGTGTGGGAAAGAGACAGGGACAGTAAAGCCTGTGCAGACAGGAAAGGTCGATACAGTAGTAGTGATTCATTCACATCTGCTAGGTGCCACAGCCGTCCCCTCTTGCATTGGCAGAGGCCAGAGGCCTGGCCCTCTCTGAGCCTCACATGTGTGGTGCGAGGCCAGTGTCGGGCGTTGGTTCCCCCTAGGGCAGTGGTGGTGAATTTATGGCACGGATGCCCACAGCCGTTTACCATCATTGAAAGCTCTAAAAGGTTCACCTCACTGCCCTGGGGCCTGGCGCCTCCTCAGCTTCCCAGGGGCAGCACACTGCTAATGAACATGTTTGCTGACCAGTATGTTGGTCTAAAGTGTAGCCTTTGCTGCCTCCCAGTGGTCAGTTAAAATGTGACTCATGGAGGCAAATTAGTTTCAAAAATAACATTAGGCTTCTAAATTAAAATTAGATGAACCACTTTATTTCTCTTTCTAAAATTATCTTAGATCTTTAAAAATATAAAACACTCTTAATATCTCTTAAGTACATTTTTAAAAAATTCATCCTTTAGAATGATTTCCCGGATTCTTGGGCCCCGTTAATTTTGGAAGGGGAAGCCATTTGCCTTACTTGCTTCCCTACTTGGGGCCAAGCTTTTGGGGCGAGCAGGGAAGAATCTGCCCCATTCCTGGAGGCCCTATAAGAGCTGCAGCACGCTCGTGCCTTGGGGGTCCCTGCCTGTGGGCAGCAGTCAGACAGGACGCGGAGGGGTGTGTGGCTTGCCTAGCGTGCTGTTTAGACGCCTGTGAAGGCCTGAGAAGAGGGCCCTGACTCCCTCCACACTCTGTTCACCCTGCTGGGCCTCACCTCTTCCTTGTATTCTCTTGTGCCATCTTGCTTTACACATTCACGTTTGTGTCTGTTTGTGAAAGCAATGCACAATGATTAAGGAAAACTTCCGCACAATGCACAGGTACATAGAACAAAAGACGAAAGTCCCCACTTGCCAGTCCACCCCAACTTTGCCATGTCCCGAGGGGTGAAGAACCCTACATTGACTGTTCGGTGTGATGACCATCTCATGTGAGCTGGACCAGGCCTCTTTCCTGTCTGCAGCACCATGCACAGACGTACCTATAACATTACTTATTAAAATTATTTCACAGTACGCATAAATTTCAATTATTTACAAAGTAGTTTATACTACAGTCTCACCACTTTTTCTTTTTTTAATTTTGGTACTGGGGATCGAACTCCGGACCTTGCGCTTGTGAGGCAGGTGGTGAAACCACTGAGCTAAATCCCCGGCCCTCACCACTTTTTATTTATTTATTTTATTTTATTTTATTTTATTTATTTATTTACCAGGGATCAAACTCAGGTCCTTGCGCTTGTGCAGCAGGCAGCGAAACCACTGAGCTAAATCCCCGGCCCCACTTTTTATTTTATATAATTTACAAATTTGGAATGAAGGAAAACACCCAGCCCCCTTTTAGTACGTAGAGATGGCCAGGGATAGCAGTTTTGTGCATTTCCCTCCTGATTATACCAACACATCTCTGCTCGCCTGTGCTCTACCAGTATATCTGCTTGTGCACATGTCCCTCTTAACAGTACTTCAAAAAGTGGGTCACCTTGTACATAATTGCCATGCAGTGTGCTGAACAAGCTGTGGATTTGTTTTCTTATTTTTGCCAAAGATCATATAGGTGTATAAATATTTATAAAAGACTCCTCCACCTCCTCCCTCTTATTTCTGGCTCCCTAGAGGCAAGGTCTTTCAGCTTTGTTGTTGTTTTGTGATGTTGGGGGTTGAACCCAGGATTTTGCACATTTTGGGCAAGCACTCTACCACTAAACTGTATCCTCTCCTTTTAGTTCTTTTAGCTGATTATTTTAGTGTTTATCTCCATATCATGAAATAATGCATTTAGATTTCTGTTCATTGATCTCTTATCTTTTTTTGAGACAGGGTCTCTGTGTAGTTCAGGCTGGCCTTGAACTCACTGTGTAGCCCAGACTTGCCTCAAATTCATGGTAATCCTCCTGCCTCAGCCTCCCGAGAGCTAGGATTACAGGCAGTAACAACCTTTTGTTACTTTAAAGTGTCTGTTTTCAAGGGGAAGTAATCGTCTGTGCTCTTACTGCTAATACAGCCTTAAGCTTTCTGCCAGGTCTCTAAATTTTCTCTTACCGCGTGCTGCTGTCTCAGGTATTCATCTTCTTGGCAGATCTCAGTCTGGTCCCCTCTGGATTGCTGCCCATGTGCCTGATGCAGAGGGGTTGAGCTGGATCGTCCCACACACCCCAGCATTTTCCTGGGATTTCCTCGCCCTCCCTCCCATGTTGGAGTCCCCATTTCTTGGCCTTCATTCTAACTTTCCTTGTCTTTTTTCTCTCTCAGGTTATTTTCTTATCTTAGTGGGAAATATCTTCCTAGAAAAATGGTGTGGGGATGAAGTCTGTGAGGCCTCCAATGCCTAAAATCCTCTTGGCCTCTCCCCTGATTCAAAGTTCAACAGAATATAGAATTCTTAGTTACAAATCAGTTGCCCTCAGAGTGGTACATGCAGTCAGTTCCCCATCATAGTAGGGAGGCATCTGGTATAGCTCTTTCTAATGCCATTTTTCTGTCCTTCATGATGCCCTGGTTCTGGTTCTATCTCTGGGAAAATTTGAAATCATTTCCTTATTCCTTTCCTTGATAAGGACTACTGTTTTCCATTACTGGTGCTGTGTATATGTCTGGAGACATTAGTCTAGAGACATTGGAGGAAGAAGTTTGCATTTTTTAGAATGCCCTCTTTACTCTGTTCTTTATTCTTTCTTCCTGTGAAGCACAAGTTAGTTGGAACTCTTTTATCCTCGACAGTTCTTTTTTTTGTCTTCTTAAATTCTTTTATTGGTACATTTTAGGTATACAATGCATTTACATTTATCACTGGGTGCTTGTACCTGTGCATGATGCCTCCACAGTGCCCCAGCCTGCTCAGCTCTGTTTCCCACATGACTGGGCAGCCGCTCCTCAAGGGGAGCTTAGAAGGCAGACATTGGTGGGAGAAGCCTGTCCCTGCAGTTCATCTCGGAGCAACACACATGCTCATTCTTCTCCTTCTCTAATACTCATTCTCTCTGTTTTCCCTCTGGTAGGTGTTTGTGGCCTATCTGGAATTTGACCCAAAGCAGAGTCTAGCAGCTCGCAGTGGGGCATGTAGACTTCCCCCAGTCCGTGACTTTACGGCCAGATCTGGTATGCTTGGCAGTTGGAATAACTCCAAAGTAGTTCCACGGCCTGTGAGGCGAGGTTGTAAAGCTGGAGAAGGCCATGTGGAAACCTGATACTGACCTCCTCAGTGTAATAAATCACCAAAATTACTGTACCCTGTGGGAATGAGGGATGGATAGAGGAGATCGGTGGCAGCATTAAGACCTCGAGTTGCAGGACAGTGGTCCCTGTCACATTTCACTTTCATTCATTCGTCCAGCCTTGGGGACACTAGATGGCTCCTGGAGAATGACTGTGACTACCACGGGCTTAACCATCCAGTCATCCTGGGTGCAGCTGCTTGTGGGTACATAAAGTGGACAGAGCAGCTTAGGTGAGCTTTGGGTCTGGCATGTTGTTTGGGCAAATGTTGACTCTAAGAGAGGGTCAGAAACCGTTCACACTGGTGAACAGACTGTGAAACTGTCTTATAGTTTGGCCTCAAGTGTGGTTAGCTGTCTCACCTCTGTCAGGATATTATGCGAAGAGATCCAGACAGACTCCATTTGCTGCCTGAACCCCCAGGTGGAGGAGGCTTGGGATGCTGGGCCCTTCAGCTTTCAGCTGCCACTCAGATCCTGGGTCCAGTCATCCTCAAAATGCCTGACGATTCTCCTTTCCCAGCGTGTAGCCACCTGAGTAAGTGGCCGTGGGAGCCTGTAGGGGAAGGACAGGGAAATCCAGACAGTGGATGCTAATCACGGGGAGCAGGGTCCCCTCCCGGGGTGCCTCTTGCATCAGTGGGTCTGAACCTGGGAGTTGAAGGGGGAGTGCTGGTCCATCACGTGACCACATTCAGCTCTTCTGTTCTTGCCCTGACCCTGCAGGTGCTGCCCTCTAGTTACCATCTCCACTGCCTGTGCTGGGTCAAGCCTGACCTGTGGGTCAAGGGTCTTTTGTAACTGGCGTTCCTCTTTTTCTTTGTTTCTGTTGGTTCTCAAGATTTGAAGAGGCAGAGCTGTCTTTACTGCCTGGTTTTGGAATACTGGCTCTAGTGCAGTGTGGTGGAGCTGCCTAGAGAGCCTGGCTTGTAGGAGGGCCCTTGGGAGCCCCTGAGAGCTCTTAAGCCGACTCCCACTGGCAGGTATTAACCACCTGTCAGTCCTGTTTGTGATCTTATGCACAGAGGGCCATAGGCAAGGGCAGCTGTCCACATCACAGGCATCCCAGAACTGTGTTTTATTGTCCTCGTTTCCCAGCAGTTGGCAGTAAAGTGTGTCCTTCCAACAAAACCAGCATATACCCACAGCTTTCTGGCAGGTGGCATTGTCTGGAGGTGGGTTCACTTCACTTCATCAAGCTAGCATATGAAGATTATTTTCACTGTTGCCCTTTGCCCTTGTTAGAGCCCGTGCTGCTGTGGCCTGGATCGTGTGGCTGGGCTGTGAGTTGCAGGTCTGCTTGCAGGCCTGATCCCCCTGGTCAGACAGTCAGCCCTCTGTATCCTCAGGTTCTACATCCACACATGCAGCCCGCTGCAGGCCAAAGGTATTTGGGAAACAAAACTTGCATCTGAGGTGGACATGTATGAACTTTATTTTTGTCATTACCCCTTTAACAATACAGTGTAATGACTACTGACATAGCAGTTGCATTGTATTAGGAGTTACAAGTCGTTAGAGATGGCTTAAAGCACACCGGAGGATATGCCATTTTGTACAGGGGACCTGAGCCTCCATGGATTTGGGTGTCCAAGACCAGTCCTCCTCTGACACTGAGATGAATGTATTTGCACTGTTCCCTGAGGTAGACTAGAGGGTAGAGATTATCATTGCTTTTTTTCTTTCTTTGTTTTTTGGTACTGGGAACCAAACTCAGGACTTGGCACTTGCGAGGCAGGCGCGGCACCACTTAGCTAAATCCCCGGCCCTGTCATTGCATTTTTAAACATTATATATTTATCATTTAAATGTCGCAGAATACAGGAAGTTTAGAAAGCATCTAAGAGTATTGAAACATAATTGTAGCTTTTGTAAATTTTTAAGTAGCTGTCTGCTTGTCTTAATAACCTTCCAGCATCTCTATTTCAAGGCACTCTTGCATGTCGGGAAATGTTTAACTTCCAGTGCTGAACAGTGTTATGGAACCTCACATTCACGTTTAAGAACCCCATGGGGCTAGGGATTTAGTTCAGTGGTGCCGCCGCCTGCCTCACGAGCGCAAGGTCCCAAGTTCGATCTCTGGTACCAAAAAAAAAAAGAACCCCATGTTGTACCATGTGGTGGTGACCTACTGGTGTAACATTGCAGCTGCGTGTCTCTTCTCTTGTGAGAAGAAAAGGGGGAAATTGTTTAGAAGTTACAGTTTCTAGAGAGCGTGCAGACTGTACTCCCAGGCAGAACTCAAATTCCCACAGCCTGGGGAAGCAGAAGGGGCACGGGGGTCAGCACAAAGAAAGCCCCTGTGTCTTGAAGGAAAAACCAGAAGTGTTAAGGCACCCGAAGTGTGATACAGCATGACATGCGTGTTCACTCACTGAACATTTTCTCGAAAGTGTGTGCTTGTGTCAGGTAAGCTTCCAAGTCCTGGGCCACTTGGGACAGGAAGAGAGGTGGGAACCAGAAAAAGAGAGTCATTTCTTTTGTACTGAATCTAGGCTGTGGCACCAATAACAGCTGTGATGTGTAGGGAGTAGTAAGTCTTTGTGAGAGGAAAAGGAATTGAGATTAGTAAGCTTGGAATCCTCTTTCAAAGAGAGAAACAGGGAACTCTGGACCTGTGTGGTCAGTATGGTGGCTGCTAGCAAGTGAGGCCGCTGAGTGCTCAGGATGTGGCCACAGTTGTAAAGTACACACTGACCTTCAATGACTCAGTACCATGAAGAGTGGAAAACACCCATTAATAATAATAATCCTGTGGACATACTGGGCTAGATGAAATATATTATTAAAATGAATTTCGCCTGTTTCTTTTAACTTTTTTTTTCTTTTTTTTGGTACCGGGGATCGAACTCGGGTCCTTGCGCTTGCACAGCAGGCAGCGAAACCACTGAGCTAAATCCCCAGCCCTCTTTTAACACCTTTTAACATGGCTACTAGAAGTTGTAAATTACAGATGTCGTTGGCGTTACATCGCTGCTGAGTGTGAGGACCTGGGGAGGAAGGGCTGGCCGTGCGGCAGCAAGGCCAGTGAGAGGGCAGAGTGGGCGGCGAGCGTGGGAAGTGTGGGCCGGGCGCCCTGCAGGGCCTGGGAGCCGCAGCCCTGACTTCCAGGCTCCCAGGCCGGGCCCGGAATGGGGTGAGGGGGGCACCATCTGGGTCTGAAGAATAGCGTCCTCCAAAATGGTTCCCAAGTCCCAGGGCTCAGTTCTACCTGTCCTCCTCCCCACCTGCTCACAAACTTCAGAAGTCACCAGCTTTACACCCTTATCAGTGTGAAACTTATCCGTGCCTTCGGTGTGCTTTAGTTCATTTTATTTAAAAATAATTTTTTCCCTAGGATTTGAAGCCTAGCAACATTGTAGTAAAATCAGATTGTACCCTTAAGATCCTTGACTTTGGTCTGGCCCGGACGGCATGTACCAACTTTATGATGACCCCCTATGTGGTAACTCGGTATTACCGGGCGCCCGAAGTCATCCTGGGCATGGGCTACAAAGAGAACGGTGAGTAGACAGAGCTGCAGAGGCCGCTGGTGGTTGAGCGTAACTCCAGCGCTCATCACTAGCTCTTGAACTGTGTGTGGGGGGACGGCGTTATACAGGTTACAATCCATAGATGAGAAATCGTTCTGCATTTCCAGTGGTTAGAATCATTCACTTTAAAATTCACTTTTGAACTTTTTAAATCGAAGTATAGCTTACAGAAAAGTGTGCACACCCTAGTGTGTAGCTTGCCGTGAGCACACCCATATAGCCAGCAGTGGCCTTAGTAATTTTTTAAAACGGATATAAATGGGCTAATGCAACATATTGTCTTTCATATAAAATTAGTGGTTTTTAGCGTCAGAACTTCCCTTATTCTGGCAATGTCAAAGCTCTTTGAAACTTAGCCTTTAACAGATTTGTTGAAAAGAGTTACAACACATTTACTTGTAGGGAAAAAAAAAGTAAACCAGAGTGAAAGTTAGCTTGAGTCTTCTGAAGTCCATTTAGCTTGAGTTTATCTTAGCCCTTCATGACTGTGCTCCTGCCTGAGGTGCAGCTCTGTGCTTCCTCAGATCCTGTGGGCTTCTCCCCGTCCATGCCCACACTTAGGCCCAGGGTCCCACTGTGGAGCACCTGAGCAAGGCCTTGCCTGGAGCCCCGCCCAGCGGGCCCACCTGCGTCCCGCCCATTCCCCCACGCAGCACTGCTGCCTCTCTGAAGTGGCAGTTTAGGAATTGATCATTCAGAAACGGAGGTGTCAGTATTTTACAAAGCTCCCTCTGGGGACTGCTGAAATGTACTGGGTCTGTCCTTGTTTGGGAGGGGGATTGGAGAAAAGTGTGGGACTTGCTAGCCGCTTTTAATTACCTGGTGTTTGGTAGTGGACATCTGGTCTGTCGGGTGCATCATGGCAGAAATGGTCCTCCATAAAGTCCTGTTCCCAGGAAGAGACTGTATCCTTCACAGGGAGAGACCCCGCACCTGGCCACAGAGCCTGGGGCTTGGGTGGGCATGTGGCCCCGAAAGCTTTGTGTTTATAGGCATTTCTTGTGTCTGGTTTTTGTTCTTTTTTGGTTTTTTTTTCGTTTTTAAGCTGTAAAGTATTGGAATCTTTAGCACTAAAGCCCCAGATTGCTGCAAACTGAAAGCTAAAATAGGGGTCAGCAGTCATTTGTATCATGTAAAGATCTCACCCTCAGCCGGCAATTGATTTTTCCATATTTGTGTGTTAAGTGCTGTTAGACTTCATTTTTCCTCACCTTTGTTTTGTCCATGGCACTTCATAATTTTGTCATTTCATTTTATTTTCAGTTGATATCTGGTCAGTGGGTTGCATCATGGGCGAGCTGGTGAAAGGTTGTGTGATATTCCAAGGCACTGACCGTATCCTTCCCCAGGACCTTGGCCCCGGCCATGCTTTCCGTACCAAGGGCAGCATGATCACGCCTACTCACTCGGACATGCAGAGGGAAAATGCCGCAGTGCAAACAGTGTTCCAAGGGGAGCTTGTTGTGTGTGTCAAATTAATATCGCAAGCCAGCTGGCTCACTTAGCTACCTGTGACGATACTGTTCAGACCTAAAGTTATGTGAAATCAATTATGTTAGCTGTTAATTTTATCAAAAATACTGGACATACAGAAGAAATTATTTACTCTTTGATAAATGTGTTCTGATACTTCAGTGAGAATACCATTTTATAATTTAGTTCATTCTGTTAGAAAGGTGCCATCTAAATATGATTTAATGACTTAATCAGTATATTTTATTAGTTATTGGTATATCTTATTTTCCCCCAGAGTAAGAACTGAAGCACATTGTGTGAAACCCACATGGAAATCGTTCAAATGAAAATTTTGTGAGGAACAATTTGTTACTCCCCTGATATTTTATACATTTTTTAAAAAATTTGTGTCGAGGGTGATTTTATGACACACACTGGAGAAGTTAAATAAAAAATGCAAAAAATTAACTCATGTTGTGGTCAACAAATATATTGATGCTATAGTAGAAAGGAGGATAAGTAACATGAAAGTTATAACACCTTCATTCCTCATAGTCATTCTTCCATCCTTAATATTTTTTACCCCTAACATGGTTCTTCACATAAACCCTTTTCATTTGTATTCTAACCTCTTAATATTTTCATAAGTCTTTGATTTTGTTTTTTGTTATAAAAGTTTAAAATGGTCTTTATCTGTGAGCAGGTTGATGGTTGCGTTTAAAGGAAATTAAGGTCTATAGTCAGAGTTTTTTATGCATTTCATGAAAATTTAGTTTTTACAATTTTATGAAGTTAATTTTCTTACATAAATTCTTCACAACACAAACAGGATGAAAATACTTTATTATTGTCATTTCATTTACTTTCCTTTACATTTTCTACATCATAGATTATATATGTAAAGTTAAATCTAGCTTTTTTTTTTTTTTTTGGAGACAGGCGCTCACTATGTAGTTCAGGCTGGCCTTGAACCCACTGCGTAGCCTAGGCTGGCCTGGAACTCCCAGCAATCCTCCTGCCCCAGCGTCTGGAGTGCTGGGGTTATGGGCATGCGCCACCATGCCCAGCAAGCATCTTCTTTTGTCCTAATAAATTTTCTAGCAGTTTTCAATAGCCTTATCTCAGATTCACTTGTTTCAAAGTATAAATAAGGAGTCTTTATTTTGTAAAATACTCAATTTAAAAGGGAAAAGTTGGGATATTCTAAAGGTTATTTAGAAATATCTACTTAATGTTCTAAATACGTACTTAATGTTAAACACTAACTCATTTTGTGACTTTTCTTATTAATTTAAAAATAAATATTTTTCCCGAAAGTACAAAAGTGAAAAATGTGGGTACTTTTTGGTACATTTAATAGTTTAAAATTTCTACTTTATATAACATGTTGTAACATGAGTAATTAATGGTTTCTGTGTAAGGTGACCTAATGTTATTCTCAAAATTCACACAGAGACCAACATCATTTTTCTAAAGAAAGTTTTGACAACTTCTTCAGACATTACACTGAAACTTTAGAAGATGGGAAAGGGTTCCAGAAGCCAGGCTGAGGTTCTCAGAGATGTCCTTTAGATTTGCAGCCCTGGGTAGATAAAGAACTCCTGTCCCCACTCTGGCCTGTGAGAGAGAAAACTTTAGCAAGGCCACCCTTAGACCAAGTTCAGACTTTTCCTGTGGTGGCTGTGTATCCTTGAGAAACTCAGGGCCTCTCTGAACCCTGTACAATGAGGAACCAGTGGTCTGCCCCAGGGTTGTGGGAGAAAGGACAGTGGTATCTGCATACACCCTATGCCCGCCAGGCTCGGCATGACCTTTCCACCCTGCTCTCCTGCAATGTAAGAATGGCCCCATTACACGAATGCAGCAGTGGTTATTGAGCACCCGCCAAGTCTAGCCTCCTGGTCTGGCTTAGGCTTTAAAAAGTCCACTGCAGCAGCTGAGGTGAGGGTGCCAACCAAGGGAGCAGACGCAGGAACCACTGCTGTCCAGTGGGAGACGGCAGAGGCTCATTCCATGCTAGGGGGAACACAGGCGGAGAACAGGGTCTGAACTTTGCGTCTGCCTTCAGGGAGCCTTGTGGGGATTTGGAGACCTCAGTACAAATGCCAAGTGTAAGATTCAGGGAAGGGGGCTGGGATGGAGAAGTGAACTTGGGGGTCATTGGTCTGTCAAGAGAACGGAAGCCTTGAGCTGGTCGTGAGTGCTTGGACAGGCAGGAAATGACCGAGGACAGCACTGACCATCAGATGTCGTGGTGGCCACTGGCAGCGTAGATGGGCGGTTTTTGTGAAGTTATAGGGAGAAAGTCCAATGAGAGTCTGTTGAAGAGAGAATGAGAGGCTGGAACTTGGAAACACAAGTATAGATAGCTCTACAGGAATTTTGCTGCGTACAAAGAAATGGAGTGATAACTAGTAGGGATTGGGAGTTGTCAAAGGGAAGTGGCTGCTGTGTTGGCACAGAAGAATGCACCATGTTTGAAGCTGATGGGGCGTCCTGTAGAGAGCACCGCGCTGGTGCTGTAGGAGTAAGAGTTGAGGTCACAGGGCCTCCTCCTTGAGCGGGGGACAGTACAGCTGGGTGGCTTGGCTTCCGCCGGAAGCACCGAGTGTAAGCGGGACACGGGTGCTGGTGTGAGCGCGTTGCAGGGCCTGTGGGGCTCTTCATGGTGAGGCGTAGGCATGCGTAAGACGTGCTGAAAGTGTGTGAGGAGAGGTCAGTGTGATTTAGGGTCACATTTTGGCAAAATAGGTAAATAAAATGCATGCATCATTCTGACTGGGCAAACTCTTCAAAACAGAAGTAAAGGAGAATGGCTAGTGATTTGAATCTGCCGTTTCCTGAGCGGGTCTTCTGAAGCGTGACGTTTTGGAAGAACTGACCTCATGTGTCTGGGCCCGCGGTCATTTCACAGGAGTGTAAGTTCATTTTCCCCAGACATGCCCCACTTGGTCACTGCGAGCTGCTGTTCGCATGGTTTTTCCCAGCGTACGTTATCTTGCGTAGCTGTTTATAGTTTCGGCATGACTTTCCTTCCACTCACATTACCCCAGTCGTGCCAAGCCTTCTCGTGTGGGGTAGGCAAAACTGGTATGACTGACACTGTGTGGAGGAGGAAGTTGCCCCCAAGAAAGACTGACTTCCCTTACACCTTAGGAGTAGTTAGTGCAGGTTTCTAACCCGTGTTATGTCTTTGAAAGGAAATAAAATACATTGCTGTATGTTATAGGGAAGGTTGGAATAAGTTAACGCCAAGTAGAACAGAAAGGCATCAGAGCTGTCACTGCTTAGTTGAAAGCAGTTTTCAGGAAGCATTATGCTCCCGTGAGGGGACTAGGCCACAGGGGAGAAAGGCCAGAGCCCAGATTCCTGCCCTGTGCTCACCATGCCATCCTGGCCAGGCTGACCCACAGGGCTTTGCTGGCCCAGCTGTAAAATGAGGTGGTCACATAGTTCTCTTGAGTTCCTCTGTCCTTTAGAGAGCTATGAATCTTTAGCAGCTTTAGAAGAAAAATTGATTTCAATTTGCTTTAAAAAATGGTTTTTTTAATTTCACATCTGATCATTTCTGTCATAGGTTTGTTTCCCTCATAATTTTATTTTGAACTAGAATAGGAAGGCATATAGACCTCATTGTGTTGATTTAATAAATTGTGGTTATAGTTTATGAAGATACAGAGTCTAAAAGTTTTTTAAAGTAATTAATTTGGAAACCCAAACCTTACTTGAATATTATTTCAGAATGCTGTAGCTGACTCAGTGGGGTAGGTCACTTATTTCCCCATAAGTATAAACATAATTTTTCTTCAAATGATGCTATTATATGTAATATAAATATAGGCATTTCAGTTGTATTTTCCTCAAGAGAACTCTTAGATATTGATCAGTGGAATAAAGTTATTGAGCAACTGGGAACACCATCAGCAGAGTTCATGAAGAAACTTCAGCCAACTGTGAGAAATTATGTAGAAAATCGACCAAAGTATCCTGGAATCAAATTTGAAGAACTCTTTCCAGATTGGATATTCCCATCAGAATCCGATCGAGACAAAATAAAAAGTAAGATATCCTTTTATTCTAATACTTGTTTTTATAATCCAGGTGACACTTCTCTTTTTTTCATGTATATATTCTAAAATTTATAAACATTATAAAATAACTGAAACCCTGAAATAAAGTCAATTATAGGCTAGAAGGCTGAGGTATGACGGCATCGTGAAGAGAAAATTTAAAGTCTTGCCCTCAATACAACAATTTAACTGAAGTCTTTGGCCAAAACTGAGATACTCAGAGCAGTCCTAAAGACTTGAATTACACTATCAGCAATTAGAATTTTTAAAAAATTTCAGGTATAAAGAGTTAGGGACTATATGATAGTAGTTCATTTTTAAAAAGGTCCTCCCTGCCCTTCTGCACCCTTTACTAAAATGTGATTGTGTGATGAAAAAAGAATAGATTTATTTCCCACCACATCAAGGTAAGCTGTACCTTCATCAGAAAAGCCCCGGTCTGTCCTTTGCTGTGAAGTTAATTGCCAGAACCCAGCTATGCCTCATATTTAACTAAGTTATTAAATTTATTGGGGCTTTTCCTAACTGCTAATCTCTAAATTAAAACAAAAAGTGTATGCTGCCTACAGTGTGCACAGGTAGGCAAAGGAGAGATGTCTGTGAAGTGTGTTATGCTGTGGGGTGTGAGATTATTGTGTGGTTTGGAAAGTCTGTTCTGATTTGATTTTCATGTGACATGATAAGTGCTCCCCCATGCTTCCTGGCCACACTCGGCTGCACCACCCTGAGCTCAGCACCTGGCCACTTCCTGCCATGTCTTCTGAGCCTGCAGCTCTGCCTGGCCACTGGTCTAAGGCTGCCTGCCTGGTGCCTTCCACCCACACACCGGACCCATGGTGCCCTGATCCCTTCTCATATTCAGGGCACGAAACCACAGTTGAAAGCCTGGTTTGGCGTAAGAGTGGCCATTCATCTTTCTCTTAAAAGTTGTAAGACTCTCGATCTGGAAACTATCAAATATTTCTCCAAGTTAATTTGTCTTTGTTCTATTTGTGCTATCACATGTAGTTCTTTATTGTAGTTTTCTTTGTTTCAGATCAGCAGCATTAGTGTATTAATCTAGCATTTGTTTTCACCTAGCGAGTCAAGCCAGAGATCTGTTATCAAAAATGTTAGTGATCGATCCCGACAAGCGGATCTCTGTGGACGAAGCCTTGCGTCACCCCTACATTACTGTGTGGTATGACCCTGCTGAAGCAGAAGCGGTGAGTGTTGATTTGGAAAGGCTTCATTTGTACAGGCAGTGGCCACTTTCCTTGCTCTTCTGTTAGCCTTAATGGCTACATAAGGATAGCAAGTTGTCCATTTTAGGGCTGCTAATTCCAAAAAAGGCTAAGAGCTGAGGCCTGGGTCCATACTCTTTTTGAGGGACTTGCTTTTGGGGCTGAGCTCAGAGGACCTCCACAGTGAACATGCTAATGCTGTGGAGATATAATTGCCTTCATTTACACCAATGCTAATTTACTAAGCATCTATTCTGTGCCTGGCCCTGTGGCAGGGCTTTGGTTATATCCTCTTATGTAGGCCCCCAGGCAGAGAGGCTAAGCGACTTGCTGGAAGTCACAGATTTGTTTATCCTTCTCCAAGGCATCCCAGCCTCCCTGTTCCCTTGCTGTGTTGGGCGCTTGTATGAATAACATTAGCTGAACGTGAAATAGTACAGCAACGTGCTTGCTATACCATGGGTGAAACACATTTTATGTCTCAGCTACAGATTTGACCACCATTTTAAATGTTGTTTGATATCAAAAGAATGGGATTTATAAGCAGCCTTTCAGAACAGTCCATTTATGAGCTGGGGATTGGGCCTGGAAGCCTGAAGTGTGTTATGATATTGTGCCTCACACGGCTCTCACACAGTGCCTGCTCCAGCGGTCTCCAGGGAGCACTCTGTGAGGACTAGTTTTGTAATTATATTGGTCAGATGTCTGTAATGTCTTGAGGTCGTGTGATTATTAAGAGGATTTTTACTAATAGCTCTCTTTTGGGGGGTTAAGTTTTCCTTATTTTGATTCTGAAGCTGATGCCGTGTCACACTGATGATAAAAATCTTTAATAAACCAAGTGTTAAGAAAACTAAATCCTTTAGTACACTAGAAATTTTCCAAGTAATGTTACCTTTACTTCATGCTTCATTATTCTTTGAAATATTGACTTCACATATTGTTTAATATTTAGCCACCACCTCAGATTTACGATGCCCAGTTGGAAGAAAGAGAACATGCAATTGAAGAGTGGAAAGGTAAAGGCAGCTTGATTTGATCCTTCCGAAGGGCATTTCTTACAATCATGCAAAGCAGAGCCTGTTCGTTCTTTTAACACCTGCCCTTCCAGAGCAGGTAGCAGGCACTGCCGCGCCCGTACTCTCTCCCCGGTCCGGGAGAGAAAGAACTGGAGATAATGGTGTTAGAAAGCGCCATGTCTGAATCCAGACTGTTTGATTCAGGGTGGAATAGAAGGGCTTTTCATGTGATTTTACACTATCAAATACTGGTAACCAATTTGTTGTTCTTGTCAGTGAAAGTTGAGGGAAACTGATATTGAAGGCGAGATAAGACTTAAATATGTGGATTCATTTCTGCCCAGTCTAGAGGAGCTTATAGCCCATATGTGAGTGCTGGTCCCACTTGAAGAACCACAAATAATCATGGAAGGAATACATTTCAGATGGCTTTGAATCTGAATTTTTTTTTTTTTGGTACCGGGGATCAAACTCAGGACCTTACATTTTCGAGGCAGGCAGTGGAACCACTGGGCTAAATCCCTGGCCCTCAGATGGCTTTGAGATACCTAGTTCCTTAAAATATTTCAGAAAGCCACTCTGTTTCTGTTTCCTCTGTGTGTGTGTGTGTGTGTGTGTGTGTGTGTGTGAGTGTGTGTGAGAAATCTCTACGTGGATTTAGAATAACCCTACATTTTTTGGATGCTTAATAGTTTCATTGAAAGACTAGGGATATAGCTCAGTTGTAGAGCTCTTGCCTAGCATGTATAAGATCCTGGGTACAATTCATAGCACTGCAAAAAAAAGAAAGAAAGAAAGAAAAGATATAATGGATCAAAATACAGGTGTTTTGGTCCAGGTAGACTGTAGTAATAAATTTTTTGTGTATCACAATTTAAAATAACACATCACCGTGCCCTTAGAATGTTTCCAGTTAGTTTGGAAGCAGAGTTTAGAGATGCAAAGAAACTGACAAAGTATTTTAATGTACATTTCTGTTTGAAGAACTAATTTACAAAGAAGTAATGGACTGGGAAGAAAGAAGCAAGAATGGCGTTGTAAAAGATCAACCTTCAGGTTGGTGATTGCTTTAATCATGTGATTATATATTATTTTCTTTGCCTCTTGAACTTTTATCAATGGCAGCAGTGTGTTAAATACCTGCGTGAATGGATCAGAAAGTTGATGATGTGAAATGGCCTCTCCTTTTTTACTTGTCCTGGTGGTTTCGTGGTGGCAGCAGCTAACATTTCACTGATGTTCCAGTAACTACACTTTAAAAATTCTTGTTTCATCCTTGGAACAACTGCTGTCAGCTCCATTTATAGAAGAGGAAATTGAACTTCAAGCTTTTTCAGTAAGCAAGACCCTCTTTATACTGGTTCCCATCCAGTTTTGTTTTGTTTTTTTCAAAAAAGAACATTAATACACACCAAGGTAAAATGGAATTTGGTTTTCTGTTGAGAAAATTATTATAATTCTCCCATTTTTAAAGTGGACGTACTCAGGGGTAGAAGCCCATGACTAGACCATCACGTCCTGCTGAGAGACAGTACTCTAGTATTAGTGGTGTTAACATCTATCTTTGGGTTACTAAAGGAGACTCTTCAGTTATGTGTATTTTCTCACTCCTGCTTGAAATCATACTCATGTAAAGACACAGAGCTTACTTCTTAGTCTTTATTTTTGTATTCAAGAACCTGTGTCAGCATCTGGAGATTATATAACTTAAGCAGGAATTTAGGTACTTCTTTTAAGCAAGTACAAATTTAAAACTGCAAGCATTGATCCGTGAGAGCTTGAAAGTTTTATTTTTGCTCAAACCAGACTAAAATGTGGATAATAGGAAATGGGATAGCTTCATTTGTCTTCAAAGATTAAAATGTCAGTTTTCTGGGTTCATAAAACAAAACTTAAATGTGTAAGTTTTTCCTTTTTTGGTGTACAGTCTTTATTTCAGAAAGTATTTTTTTTTCCTTTTTTTTCTTTTTCGGTACTGGGGATCGAACTTGGGTCCTTGTGCTTGTGCAGCAGGCGGTGAAACCACTGAGCTCAATCCTCGGCCCTCAGAAAGTATTTTTGTCCAAAATATTATTTTGAATGTTGATAGTTTTCACCCCTAAATGTAGCACTTATATTAGAGTAGATATATATGATGACACTTGAATCCTATTTAGGCTTTAGGTTCTTGTGATACTGTTAGGATAAATTCAGCAATGTCATTTCAAAGGCCTGTTTGAAATCAGCAGGTATTTTTAAAAGTAACTAACGTGATTGATTGTATGTGACCATAAACATGCCTAGCCATGGGGTAGAGAAGGAGCGTGTCACAGAGATAGACCTAGGATGATTTGCAGTACCAGACCTGAAGACAGACTCAAGGAAGAGTTCCAGACACTCAGTTGACTGCCCTCTTGCTTGTACTAATAGGACTAGGAGACTGCAAACCAACAGAGCCAAGAAGTGGCCAAAATCCTTTTTTACCTGCGTTTGCAGCCATGTCGTGCCTCAGATTTTATTCTATTTGGTTTTCTTAGCACAGATGCAGCAGTAAGTAGCAACGCCACTCCTTCTCAGTCGTCCTCTATCAATGACATTTCATCCATGTCCACTGAGCAGACACTGGCCTCAGACACAGACAGCAGTCTTGATGCCTCCACAGGACCCCTCGAAGGTTGTCGATGATAAGTTGGAAAGAGCAGAGCTGTTATCAGCAAAGGAACTCTCACTTTCACGATCCTGAAATGTGTGAAAGTCGATGGAACCAAATAGAAAAGCCCGGTGTTCTGCATGTAAGAAACACGATGCCTTGCCCCTACTCAGTTCCAATAGGATTGCCTGCTTAGATTATAAGATGAAGCAGATTATGTCTGAAGAAAAAAAACCGAAGCCACACTTTAGAGATTTTGTTCAAGATCATTTCAGGTGAGCAATTAGAATAGATGAAGTTCTCACAAGTTGTATGGTAACAGTGGTGGCAGTTTCCCATCATGCGTAACTGTTGGGTCTTTCATGCATGCGACCTCAAATGCTTGCTTGGACTTGCCCACCTAGCACTTTGGAAATCCGTGTTTATAAACCAAATAATCTTCCAGTTAGTGTTGCTTCTAGAATGATCTCTTTATCCTCTGAGTCAATTTTTTGTCTGTCAAGAAAAAATGGATTTATGTGTATTAATTGGCCACCATCATATTATATATCTTACCCTCTTTAAGAGATGGTATGATTTATTCTATCTTTTGTATTTCAGAAGGAATATAATTAAATCTATTTAATAAATAAAAATACAGCTTTTCTTAAATTTGTGATGTTTTGAACTGAGAATTATCACTGCTAAAACCAAGACATTTATGCGGGCACTGTTTCCTCTAAATAGTCTGGGACGACTGTACATCAGCTTTACTGCATGATAACATTTTCAGTTCTGTTTTATGCTGCTTGAGAGGTGTGCACCTTTGAATTCCTGTCTACCTTACGTCTTTTTTCTTGGTCTTCTGGACTCCTGATTAATTTAAAATGCTATCTAGAACTTCACCTTCTTCATCAGATGCACAACACACCATCTCAGTAATATGCTGGCAAATAGATTTCTGAATTTTTGGCCTACTGTTAGAGTAGAGCTTCATAAAATGGTGTCTCAAGATCATTGCAGTCCTTTACCAAAGTGCTTCCTGTGCCAGAGCCCAGCCTGTCCTTTTCACTCCCGTCATTCAAGGTGAAATACAAGGTGATTTCACAAAGCATCATTTTCCTTTGCCAACGTCACATTGTGGCTCAGTTTTTTCTTCGCTGAAAGAAGCTGGGTCAGTCCCCCTTCATCTGCTTTAGAAGCCGGGCCGACTCAGAATGCCATTTGCTGCTGTTGTTTTCCATCTTAAAGAGACATTTCTTTTTCTGAAGGAAAAGCCAGGAATGTTCTGGGAAAACTCTTCAGAGGAATATGGGGAAATACCGTAGAAAGTAGTGATTCACTGTTGAATATTTTCTGATTTAAAACTGCTCACCTGAATTGATACTTTCAGACTTCCTGATATGTAAATGATTAAAAATTCTTTAAGATACTGAGTATTGCGTGTTACTGCAGAAATGGAATTATGATTATCACATTTTGTCTGTCTGTGCTCAGAATGTTGAGCTTACTTTGTTACCAATTCGTATCTTGTGTTTAATTGCTTTGGAAGCTATTTGGTCAGCATTCTGTAGAATGTCTTGAAGAGGAGCTTTGATAAGGAAGTTTATTATAATAAGTACATGATCTGCAGTATATGATTCCCATGTACCAGCTGTATCTTAATGGTTGGTCTTACCACTGGAAACTGGAGCCCTGGATGAACAAAATTCATCTTGAAATAAGAAAGAGTTTTATATTGTGTAATTTAGACACTTTCAAGTACAAAATGGAAATGCTAACTTGGATGGAGGCAGAAGAAACACTTGTTACATAGTTTTGGATTACTCAAATCAGGAGGCCTGCTTTTACAGTTAAGAACGTTTTCACTATACATACATAAACTTCTTACAATGGCCTTCTCTCTAATACATGTTCTTTTAAAAGACTTCACTAAATCTATCTTTAAAAAGAAAAAAAAGCAAAGAAAAGAGAGAGTTTAAACTGCATTGTCTGCCCTACGCGGGGTAGAGGCATGCTGATGCTGAGGCTGGGCAGGTCCCACTTGCCAGGCGACATCTGTGAGCGGAGCAGGAGCCCCAGCAGAGTGGCTTTCTGCGCACCTGCTCCTCTGCACATCCGGCAGACCTTTGTCACAGATGAAGCCCGTGCTTGTGTGGACAGGGGCTCCTGCCAGGACCCTCTCCCATCAGGCAGAGGCACTGCAGCCAGGACAGGCACAGAGCTCTGTAGAAATACCTCACCCCAATTTGAGGGCCCGCCCTCCCGAGCCAAGACTAGCCAGGGTCCTGGTGCAACATAGCGGTTCAAGCTGATCTCTGTGGATAAATGCTGATGTTGGATAAAGAACTGAAAAATGTGCTCAACTTTTTCATCTTTTCTATTTTATTTTTGTAATTTATATTGTACACAACCCTGGAAGTAACTATTTTGGACTTGTATTTTTATAAACCAGGTAATTTCTGATTATCCTGGAATTTGGGCTGGGTTTGTTTCTTTTGTTGGCTTAGTTTTTAGTCGAAGGGAAGTGACTGCCTCCGCTGTGTCTGGGTCTCAGTTTCTCGTGCAGGTTCCCAAGGGCAGGCAGAACCCCGTCAGGGGAGGAGAGCAGCCAAGAAACACTGGCTGTACAGCGTCCAATGGCTTTGGGCCTAAAGATGGAGCCAGGCCTTATCTTTGGAACATGAAACTCAGACCCTGAAAGGAGAAAGCCCTCTGCAGGGGCCCTTGCTGACACCCAGGGGCCATTTCTGAAAGACTGAGTAGGACAGTGGTTTAACGGACTGAATGCTGTGTACATCCTGACAACAATGTATGAGTTCACCGGTTGATTTCTGATGTAACTCCTCTGGTATTTCACGCGGATAGTAAATACAGGTGTGACCTTTCAGAGTGCATATCTCAACAGTAACATTGCCTAATGTTTTATAATAAAATATATTGTGTGTGTTTTGATTGGTGAAAAATAATACAGACTACATTTTAAAAGAGAAATGTATATAGCTTGTCCAAATTTGTGTGTTTTTAAGTGTTGTTTGAATGTATCTGTCTACATCGCTTTCTCTGATTAGTCTTAACAGGAAGATGGGTAGATGTTGGAGTGTCATGATTTCAGTCAAAATTCGCAAGCACTTTCAAATTGAAAGACAAGAATATTTCTCTGTTACTTCTCTTACTGAAAATACTCTGTACATTTCTGAATCTTAAGTTTGCAAGCAAAGGTGGTAAGTTTTGAGTTTGAAGCCATGCAAGTCTAAAAGGGAATACTTATTGATGTCATTGTTTTCAAGGTGTAACCGGGAGAATCTGCCAATCTGTCCTTACTTACATTACTTAAAATCACTGACAGTGATGGTGTGCTGTGGTTTTTTGCATGGGACAATCTGCTGTACCTTGCTTGTCGTTTGGAGCAATTGAGAATGTTTGATGCTTAGGTCCCCTGGCACAGCGAGGCCCTCCACGGTTCGTTTGGTTTTCTCTGCTTGAGGGAACCAGAACCACTCCAGATAGATGAGTACCCATTTATCTTTAAAGGCCCCTAGATTAGGAAGACCCTTGACATCTGTCTGGCTCCCTTTCTCTGTCTTACCGCCTCTCACCTTCAATGTAGACAGCACCCAAATACCTTGTATTTATTGCCTGCAGCGGTACGTGTAGATGGTGTGGAGGTCTTTGGGGCTAATATCCCAAAGGCACATTGTGCTGAGCTGCTCCGTGTCGCTCCGAAGATTCTGTGAGGAGGCATGTGAATTTAGGTACAAGGGTCCCTGAAAATAAGGCAGTCGTTTGATGTGTTTCATTTTTATTCAGGAAAATCAGCAACAAAACTGGTAATAGGAGTGACAGAGTAGTCAGTCACATCTCCTTGCAGCTGAATGTGACCGTGGTTTATGAGGAATGTGTCTGTCACTGCCATTGGGTAGGAACGAGCTACATGTCTTCGAGGCCCCAGGACTGCCTGCTCCTCCACCGTTTGAAAGACCAAGGATTTGGGGCCCGAGGGGTCATTCTGTCCTTTGTCTTGGTGTTTAGGAATGGGAGGGGGCATCCAGAGTCATTCCACCAAATCCCACCCCAGTAGCTTGAGGAGGCTGTAGCTCAGGAGAGGGGTACACCTTGCCTGGCAAGAGGAAGTGAAGTTTGTTCTTCCCTACAGGCCTCTGCATGTTCTCACAAGTCTTTCTTCACTCTCTTCTATTCAGAAATACCTTTGAGGTTCCATTGGAAACTTCTCCCTAGAAAAATAGCGTGAACACAAATCTTGGCAGACTTGAGCAGAATCCTGGACCCAGTGGATCCCGCCTTAAGTCCCTCTAGATGCAGCTTTAGATGCTTCGTGCTCCCAGGGAACCAGAGTCTGCCACCTGCTCTCTGCCTAGCTCCAGCACTTTAACCCCAGGCCCTGAGTGTAAATATAGAAGTCACTCTGAGTTCTGGCAGTGGTCAGTGTTCTCGTGTGACAGAAAGGATGCAGGGACTTGGTTCCAGTGAAATGACTTTCCGCTGTCCACCAGGGCCTCTCTGCATGTGGTTCAGGCTGGCCTTGAACTCACTATAGCAAGCTCTAGAAGGATACCCACTCTGCTGAGGAGGTTGGAGATGAGATGAGAGGGAAACCGAAGGGAGGGAGAGAAGGCTGAGGGCTCAGGCCAGGTGTCGGAGAGTCAGGGAGACAGATACCGAACATTTTAAGAAACTAATAGAGAAAATTAAAATTCATCCCTTGAGCTAAAAGGAAAGGAAGGAAAAATATGGTGAATAAAAAAATGAAATAAAGGCATAAATAAGTCCTAATATACCAGTAATTAAAATAAATGTAAATACATTTATCAAGTAGATTTACACTTACCAAACACTTCAAGGGCCGGGGATTTAGCTCAGTGGTTCTGCTGCCTGCCTCGCAAGCGCAAGGTCCCGAGTTCGATCTCCGGTACCAAAAAAAAATTAGTTACAGGTATTACCAATATATGTATTGTGTGTGTGTGTGTGTGTGTGTGTGTGTGTGTGTGTGTGAATAGCTGACAGTACCGTGAGGCGAAACAAAAAAATTTAAATGTACACTTTGAAGTTTGAATGCACTCCTCTCAAAAGCCAAGTCAAATAGGTGAAAAGTGAACAAAGACCTAGAAGATTGGAATTCCATCTTGGTTCATAGGGCTCATAGGGAATATCGTACCCAATAGGAAAATTACTTTGGACCATACCTGGAACTGAAAGGAAAGTTAACTATGTAGCAGTCCACAGAGGCGGCCACAGTAAATTCCAAAGGCAGCGTCACAGGACTTGTTTTTCTATAGTAATGTAATAAAATTCAAAATAAATTTGAAAAGATCTTACACCAGGACATTAAGCTATTGTTTAATCATAATCAAACTAGGTAAAAGGAAATCATGAAGAAAACTATGAGATTCCTAAAAGTGCATAGCCTCAAAGAACACGGAGCACCAAATTTGGTAGGACCCATGTAGGGCTTATATACATTTGTCAAAAATGACTAATTTCAAAAAGTGAGTTCACCATTCAACTCTGGAGATGGACAAAACTGCAATAGAACAAGCCTAAAGTAACAAAAGGAGGAAAACTAAAGAGCAGGGATCAAGAAAAATCAGCAACAAAACCAAAACAAAGCAAAAATGCAAAGAAAAAATTAGTAAAACCAAAAGATTAATAAGACAGACAAATTTCTGGCAATAAAGAACAAGAAAAAATGTAAATGCAAAGTGGAAAAGAGAAATAACTGTAGACATAAAAGAAAATTTCACAATAATCTAACAAATGTGATAATCTGCACCAAGCAAATAGATTTCTGTAGAGATGCTAAGTACCAAAATTTGCTCAAGAAGAACACCTAAGCACACCATGCATACCAACCATTTACTCTCTAGGAGCCCAGCATTGTTATTCTCTTACAGTTGGGAAGACAGGCAGGAAGAGAACATGAGCTCCCATAGCCAGGATGTACAGTTGGAGTCTGGGGCCAGGGGACCTGGGCCGCTCTCCACGGTCCTAGCTTCTGTGTGATGCACAGGGACTCCAGAACACTTGAGACCATGACTCGAAGAAAGTGACATGACCCCAGGGATTCTCCAAGACAACCAATCTAACAGTCGGTTTTCACTAAAGTTTTAAAGCTGCCCAGCTTAGTTCATGAGGCTCATTTCATTTGGACTCCCAAATTGGATAAAGACTAATCAAGAGGATTATATGCCCTTTGGGTAGATGTAAACTGAATTCATCACTGTATGGTTCATTCCAGAATGCTAGAGTGACACAGTAGTTCCAACAGATGGCCAATTTTTGTTTTTTAAAAACTGTGTCAGAAAACACTGCATAGAAAAGAGCTTCCTTTGGGGCATTGCTGGTCCTGTTAGGGAAACAATGAGAGGAGGCAGCAAATGTCAAAGCTTCCTCATGGTCACCGGGAGAGGGTGCACTAAAATCTTACAGGTCATCCTGGAAGAAGGCAAAAATTAGTAGTAAGGAGATGAGGCTGCCACAGCTCCCTACATGCACACAGACACACGTGTGTACAAGCATGCATGTAGAGGTAGCACGGGACCTCTTTTTTTTTTCTTTTCTTTTTGATACCAGAAATCGAACTCAGGACCTTGTACTTGCAAGGCAGGCACTGGAACCACTGAGCTAAATCTCTGGCCCTCGCCTGCCTTCTCTGCACAATCAAAATGGACCCCTCTTCAGAGCTGTGACCATGACTACAACTGGGAAATGATGTTTCCCCACTTTGTGCCATGTGTTTATTCATTTCCAACAAATGTGCACTGAGCATCTCAGTTCCAGAACCTGAGCTGGACACCATGCTGTACACAAGACACACAGTCCTTGCCTTTCGGGACTTCCAGACTTCATGTCATTCAACACTTCATGGCCATGGTCAGATAATTAAGCCAGCATTAGCGGATGTAACCAAATAACCACATGAATCTAGCCTCAGCCTCAGCTGCAGTAGGAGCTGAGTCAGATGGTGGAAGTAAGCTGTGTAACAGGGTCACACCCGGTCCAGAAAGTGGGTGAGACTTCCCTGAGGAAGTGGTAGCTGAGCTGACTGCGAAAAACAAGAAGTTCCACAGGGAAAGACCCCTCATGTTGACTCCATCACTGAGAAATACCTCGGCTTGTCTCCTTCACCCTCTCCCCATCCAGTCCTCCAGTGTGGACATGGCTGTTCTGGCCTCCTGGGATGCAGCTCTGACCATGTCATCGCCCCACAGAGAACCACCCTGGGCCCTCTGCAGCTCATGGGTGTGCCTCAGACTTGGACGTCTCCCTGCCACGACACCCACATGCACGCCTCCGACACCATCGAGGTTGCCAGCTATCATAGTTAGGACGCTGAGATCCCTGAGACCATCTTCTGTGCTTTTTCACTGGAGGATTCTAAAAAATGGAAGGCTGGTGATCCATGTTGACACTGTGTTGGGGTACTACCTCTGAGGCAAGTGATGTCCTGGATTCCATTTCCTGTCTTACACACATCTTTTTTACTCTTCCTGGGCTTTCTTTTATTACACTTTCATTTTTATTTGTACTTTTGCTTTCATTTTTCAAAGTCTATATATGGTTTTATATTCTTGAGTACAACCAAGCCACAGTAGACATGGTGAGAGTGATCATCAATCTCTTTCTTGGATGACAGTTCCTTTCTAAGTCAAAGAAACATTTAGGACTGGGCAGGATGGCATTGCCCACAGTCCCAGCACTCTGGGGAGCTGAGGCAGGAAGACTGCAAGTTTGAACCCAGCCTGGGCAACTTAGCAACCTAGTGAGACCCGGTCTCAAAAAATAAAAAGGACTGGGGATGTAGTGCAAAGGCCCAGTAAAAAAATAAAAAGAGAAAGAAGAGAAAAAAGATAGTGAGGAAGGAAGGGAGAGACAGAAGATTGATTTAGGGGCTGGGACTGTAATTCAGTGCTAGGTCACTTGTGTAACATGCTTAAGGCCCTGAGCTCAATCCCCAATTCTGCAAAAAGAAATATTTGACTCACACATGATTACAATCACTTAGTTTCAACTTATTACAAACTACATTATATCAAATGCCTGCTATCAGTGGTGGGAGGCTCTTTTTAAACTTGTCTAAAATGTAATATTCATACAGAAATTGGACAGACTCTAAGTGGTCAGCTCAATAAGTGGTCAGTTTTGTTTTGTTTTTGTTTTGTTTTTTGGTACTGGGGATCAAACTCAGGACCTTGTGCTTGTGAAGCAGGCACTGGAACCAATGAGCTAAATCCCTGGCCCAAGTGGTTGGTTTTATAAGTGGAACACACCTGTATCGACAGTACCTACCACCCACATCCCGAGGTGAAACACGACATTCACCCCAGAAGCCCTTTATGTCCTTTTCAGTCACAGCCCCCAGGGGTAACCATTCTCTGGTTTCTAACAACTTAGATCAGCTTTGCTTGGTTCTGTGCTTTGTGTTACTAGAATGCTGCGATGGGTACTCTTGTCTCTGGGTCTCTCCGGGTTATTGGACAGAGTTGTAATTAATTTCCTCTTGTTGCCATTTAGGATACCATAATTCACTTATCCATTCCCCTGCTGATAGGTGTTTGGGTTGTTTCCAGTTTGAGGCCATTGCAGATAGTGGCACCGTAAGCATTTTATGTCTTTGGTTGTGCCTTTCGCTGAGAGTGGAATGCTGACTCAAGGGATATGGTCAGCTTAGTGGCGTATTAGCCTTTTTGTTGCTGCCATAACAAATTACAAGAAGTGTAATGAGTGGTTAAAACAAAAGCTTTATCATCTGACAAGTCTGTGGCTCAGAAGTCCAGGTTGGCTCAAGTAGTCTGTGCTCCAGGCTCATGAGGCAGTGTCAGCTGGCTGGAGTCTTCTGGGGATGTGCTAGGAGGAATTGGCGTCCTTCAGTCTCCTTCATTAAATTAAAATGGCCAGTGCCATATCATTCAAACTTGCCAAATTCATTGAGAGCAAGAGACAGGAAGGGGTCATGAGATATTTATCTCCTTTATCCCTTAGGGTCACAGTGGGGGCATGAGACAAGGAGAGGTAGGACAGGTACGTACTTGACTGGTCCATCCATCATAAGATGCATTTCAGCTCTCTCATCTTCGAGGATCTCCTTCTGGACACCCCACTCCTGGTATCAGGTTGTGCCTCCAGGCAAGGGCTAGTCAGGAAAACAGGAACCACTCTAGGTATTGCAAAAATTGAATAGTTGGACTTTGATAAACAGGTGTTGGAAGACTCAAAAAACCCACAAAACTGTAAGAGGCAGCTACCACACACCGGAGGATGAGGAGTAAAGGGAGCGTCTGGGCTTACAGAGTCGAAAAGTTCAGAGGAGGCGCCCTGAGGATGGGCACCAGCCTGTGAAGAAGGTGGCATGCCCAGGCTGTGGTGCTCCTGTGAAGCTGTTTTCGGAGAATGGAATGAAGCTGAGTGTGGAGCCAGCCACGGTTGCAGGAAGGGCCACTGCTGTAGTGCCACCATCAGGACATGGCCAAGACAGGATGGAGCTCACGATTTCCTGGTCTCCTAGAAGCTCCCATGGTAGAGCCAACACAGAGCTGGCCGCGTATGAAGAAATGTGTAGTGCCTCCACCCCAGGTGGGGTTTGGAGCCCAGAGTCAGCAGCATGTTAACCGGCACAAGGAAACCGAGTCTTTCTCCCCTTTGCCTGGCTTTGTTCTCCTCTCACTTCCTCTTCAGGTTGGGACCTACCAGACTCAAACACCAAGAGGGCGAGAAGCCACATAGGCACGTGCTCAGCAGCACTCCATAGCTGGCGGCACTCTGGCTGGCGCGTGCGTGCGTGGGACTTGCTCACACATGGGAGTTGGCCACAGTGCTCCAGAGATGTCTTTGCCCAGCCTGTCTCCCTGGTCTCTCCAAGTAGTTCCCAGACTCCACCCAAAGGTGCTTCAAGGGAAAGTGCTCCTTCCCTCTTCAGCCCAAAGCTGCTACACAGTTAACAGAGCCCAGTACAAAATGGAAAGGTGCCTGAGAAACAGTTAAGGTACTAAAATATGAATCTCTCAATCTCTCTCACTCTCTCTCTCTCTCTCTCTCTCTCTCTCTCTCTCTCTCCCCTCGTCCTGGTGTTTTTGTTTGTTTTTATGGTGCTGAGGATTGAACACAGTGCCTTTGCAGTGAGCTGTGTCCCCGGCCTTTTAAATTTGGTTTTTAAATTTTGAGATAAAGTCTCATTAAGTTCCCCAGGCTGGGCTCAAACATTCCACCCTCTGCCTATAGGCCTGTGCTACCATGCCTGACTCTGGTGGGATTTTTTTGGGTTTTTTCAAGACATTATGTTATTTTAAGTGAAAAAAATCCCTAAAATTTGAGATCATTGCCACAAGCTTTAGTGTTCATCTTTATATTGTTCAATGCCATCTTTTTTTTTTTCCTTTGGTACCAGGGATCAAACTCAGGACCTTGCGCTTATGAGGCAGGTGCCAGAACCACTGAGCTAAATCACCGGCCCTATTCAATGTCTTCTTGAAATGCAAATATAAGAACATTTAACTCCTCTATAGTCACTGAAATTACAAATTTGTGTTTTGTGCCTTATACATGCATATGTATTTTGTTCTTACCAGTAGGAATGCTGCACAAGAGCAGCTCAGCCGTCTGCACTTCGCTTGTTGGAACACACACCCTGCCGCACTCTTTGGCTGCTGCTCCGTAAGGAAGGTCTCGGGAAAAGGCACTGTTATGGCCCCATACTTCCCTTTCCTTCTCTGTCACCAGCTCCAACCTAACTTGTTGACTGATGTGAGGAAGTAACTGAGGTAAGAAAGGCACGCTTGGCTTACCTGGTCAGCCCTATTTTCTTGAAGATCTCTAATGCATGGCCTCTCGGGCTGTTAGGGCCCCACTGAGTCAGCTTAGTCACCTTGTACTGACCTTGAGTCTGACGGACCAGGCACTGTGGCTTTCCTGAATCCTGTGCTCCGGGGGCCCTGCACACCCTAAAGGTGGCCGGGGGCCAAGGAGTGGAGGTGGACACAGACTGAAGGTCTCTCCTCCACACATGCATCCCTGTCCATGGGGCTTCGCCTAGGAGACGCCAGTCCTGGCTGGTGCACATAATCCAGCACTCTGGGACGCTGAGCCAGGAAAACTGAGAGTTGGAGCCTAGTGTGGGCAACCTAGTGACTTAGTAAGACTCTGTCTCAAGAAAAAAAGGGGAGGGGTATAGCTCAGTGAGAAGGCTGCGAGATCAATCCCTAGGACAGACGAGGTTAGGGTTGCGGGGATTTCAAGATGGCAATAGCAGAGCAGAAAACCACATCCAAGCTGCCCAGGCAGCCTGTGCAGCCGGCCCTGCGTCAGCCCCAGACTTCTGCAGCCCACCGTGGCTTCTCAGGCTCTTCTGCACGTGTGGCCTGGGTGTGCTCCATCAGAAACCCTGACCCGCAGTGCATCGTGCGTCTGCTCTCCATGGCCACTGTCACGCTCAGAGGTATGCGGTCAGCACTCTCCAGGCCTCCTCCCGCAGGCTCATGTGCACAGGCTGGGCACCCTTGTCTTCTCCCACAAGAGTGTGGGTGGCAAACTGCTGCTGCCCGGTCTTTGGCACACTTGCTATCTCCAGGCCATCTGGGAGAAGTGGCAAATCCACCCATAAAGTACAGGACGGAAATGGTTGAGCCCCTGGATCCCAAACTTGGCTGGGCCAGAACTGCTCACAACATTTGCTAAAATTCAGAATCCGAGGCCCCGCCCAAACCCTCTGCGTCTGAGGTTAGGCAATTCTTGCCCATCCTCCCCAGTGGGTGGGAAGCATGGTGGATCCAGACATTAGCCAAGGCCATGGCCCTGGCCGTGCTGGGTCCCTGCCCTCTGTGAGCCCCTCCTGTGGAATGATGTTTGTTTCCTGTTGTTCCTGCTGCACAGGTCCACAAACTTGGCTCAAAACAGCACAGGTGCAGTATCTTACAGTTCTGCGGGCCAGAGTTTAGCATGGGTTCCATGGGGCCCAAAGCCAGACGCCAGAGGGATGGCTCCTTCCGGAAGCTCTGGAGAGAATCTGCGTCTCTGCTGAGGCCCGTTCCTCGAGGCCCCTTGTGCTCCTGGACCCAGGCCCCTCCTGCCGTCAAGGCCAGACCTGCTTCCACCGTCACGTCTTCCCTGGCTCTCTTCTGCCTCCCTCCTCTGCATTTAAGGACCCATGTGGCTCCGTTACGCTCACTATGATAAAGCAAAATGATATCCCCGCCTCAAGATCCTTGGCCTCATCACGAACCTACCAAGACCCTTCTGCCATGGAAAGTTACAGTCACGGGTTCCGGGGATGAGGAAGTAGACATTTTGGGGGTCGTTCTGCCTATCCCAGATGGGGATGACAACCTCATATCCCCCTTTTTAAAAAAGATGAAATGCTTCACGAATTTGGGTGTCATCCTTGCGCAGGGGCCATGCTAATCTTCTGTGTACTGTTCCAATTTTAGTATATGTGCTGCTGAAGCGAGCACACCTCATAGCCCTTCAAATTGGCATTTCTGGACGCTTACCTCATCTTTAGCCTGAATCAGCATCACTTGAGCCATTTGTTACAAATGCACCCAAACGTGAGTCCTGATGGGGCGCTTGGAGTGCTGTCTCTCTAGTGTTCCAGGGGCCTTCTATACATGCTGCACTGGACAGCCCTCCTAGATGAGACCTTGGGAGTGACAGCCTGGGTATGCTCTGTAAGGTAGGGAAGGCTTACGCCACCTGTCCCCACCTGAACCCGCTGGGCTGCCCATGTGGCCACTTGCCCCAAGCTTCACAGGCAGGGCCTCCAAGAGGTGTCTCCCATGCCTGCAGATTTCAGCTCTGCTGCACGCTGCCCTCAGGACCCAGCGAAGGCTCCTCTGAAGCTAAATCTGTGCTCTGGGACACTTGTAGACCAGCAATGAAAGCAGCCACTCTGCTAGCAGCATGGGAACCCAGGGCTGCTGCCGTGGCACGAGGTGGGGACAATGTCTAGGACTCAGAGGGCACCGGTATCTCTGTGCCCATGTCCAGTTATAGCCACCTTTGGGCAAGCTCAGTACCAGCCTGACAAAGACAGTAACTGGGGGTCCGACCCCATGGCCAACCCCAGGTATGCCACTTGTTCTGCAGGAAGTGCTGTGTGTGGCTTTGGGGACCAGTAGGGGTACTAGAGGAGAGAGATGACCTGGGGTGTCTTGTGGCAGGCAAGGCTTTCGCTCTGCACCATAAACCCACAGGCCTGGGTTCAGCCTAGCTGGGTGCACGGCCCCAGGCTATCCACAGAGAGGCCACCGCAGGCTCCTGTGTTGCTGCCTCAGGACTGTGCCTCTGGCCATGGAAGCCCATGCAGCCCACATGCGAGCAGGAAGTGTGAGGGGAGGGAGAACACTGCCCAGTGGGGGACTCTGAAGATTCCTCTGGACCGTTCCCCAGAAGCTCTCCAACGGGCTGTGTCTGCTGTTGGTCATGATGGGAACCACCCTAATGCCTGCCTTTCTCAGGCGCTCCCTCCTTCACTCTGTCTGCTCCCTTCCCAGCTCCCTGGGATCTGCTTCCCATCAACAGCCTGCAGCCTCACTGCTGGCTCTGCTGGGGTCCCATCTGTGACACCTTCTCACATCCGCGGCCAGCCGTGTGTGGTCTCGTGTCGGTGCTGGTGCTGGGGACCCAGGTCAGTCCACACCCACATGCACCCCACACACGCTCACCACACTCAGACACCACAGTGCACCACACACCTCAGTCGTGTGCTGCGTGCACATGCCCCATGCAGTGCCTGGGACACCACCCCATGTGCATCCCCTCACACGTGTGTGCCCACACTGGACATGCACACACATGCTCACTGCACCTCTTTCAGAGCATGTGGGTAAGCAGGGCACTGGTCTATGAGCAGGGATGGTTGTTCCCCTGCCCAGTGCCTTGCTGTATATTGCCCGTGTAGTAACTTTGGAGAGCACTCACCAGACCCAAGAATGCAGTTTCTGGGCTGTGCCAATAACGTACATTGGCTGGAGCCCAAAGTTCTGTCTTTCTTGTTCTCAGATTTTGTTGGTAATTCTGCCGGGCAGCCTCACTGCTATCAGACTCCCTGGGTCACCTGCTGTTCCTGCACCAAGGGTTGGGGGCCGCTGAGGATGCTCAGTCTCCTGCACTGTGTTTCCAGCTGCTGGAACCCCAAGATCTCCCTCCCTCACCCCCTCACCACCGGGAGACCATCTCTGCATCCACAAGTCCAGCCACTGAAGGGGCCCACCAATCCTCACCACCCGAAGACTCCTCTAGAGGGGCTCCTGGTCTCTGGAAATGGCTTCTGGGCACATTCTGGAGCGGGAAGGGAAGCTGGGGCGGCCACAGCCTCGCTGGAGCCAGTGCTGTCCTTGGGCTGGGAGGGGCAGGGCCAGGTGTCTCCCTAGGCCCAGACACAGGGACACAGTGTACTCCAGAGCCGGGGCGGGGAGCGTGGAACCCGGTGCAGCCTCACGGCTCACAGACCAGTTAGGAGGCAGGGGCGTCCTTTGCACAAACCTGCCACACCTGTGCAGCAGCAGGCAGAGCAGGGGGCGGTCACAGAGACTCGGGAGCAGTCCTTCCTCCTTCACCCAGCAGGGACTCAGCTGTGGCGGCGGGCAAGTCTGCCTTGGCTGCTCTGCCACTGCCTGGCTCCCAGCACTACGACAGAAAAGGCCTCAGTGGCCCTGGCCATAGCTCACAGAGAAGGCGGCTGGGCCCCAGTGTCTTGAGCCCAGGACGCTCTTCCGGAAGCCTCCTGCCCCTGCGCCGTCTGTCGGGGCCTCTGCTCCCACATCTGCCCCGGCCTTGCCTCAGGCGTCTCCCTCACGGTGGCCAGCCTCTAGTGCCGCTCTGTCCCGAGGCCTGAGGTTTCCTCAGCCAGCCCACCCAACAACACCGGTCTTAATGCATCTGTGTGTCCCAGGCCCGCTCCCTCTGGGCCTCGGTTTCTCCGACTGTGCGCGAAATGGGCTGGACCCCGCGGTTTCTACCGGTCCGTTCTTCTGGAAACGGCCGTCAGGACATGCTGGGGGCAGAGCCCTTCTCCGTCCTCAGCGGCCACAGAGCCAGGGCTGAGTCCACCCCAGCTCCAGGCTGTGATCCTCTGGACTCTGCAGAGCGAGCTGAGCAGGGCTCCTCTGATTTGGGCACAGCCCAGCCTCGGTGCGCTCGCAATAAGCCTCCTCCTGGGGTGCCACAGCAGGGCGGTAAAGAGAGGGCGCGGGCCCTGCTCCTGCTCTTTGAACCCCTGGATCTAGCCATGCTGAAAGCAGCACCCCTTGGCTTTTCACGCTTTCCCAGCCAACGGACTCCTCGCTTGTGTGAGGTGAGTTGGGTTTCTGCCACACGTCACCGGCGGGTCCTGCTGACCCTTCACTGGCTGACAAGCCCCGAACGCCTCCGGTCGCAGCGCTGCAGCTCGGGGGGGGGGGGGCCTCACCGGCCTGCTCCAGGCCCCCTCCCTTGCCGTCCCGGCCAGTCGTCTGAGGGGTGTCCCCTCCCACGGCTGGTTCCCCGGGCTTTCTCTCCAGAGGCGGGCGCGTGTGTGCGCACGCTGTGCCGCCGCACTCGGGGATACAGACCACCCCAAAGAGCTCGATGCCCGATGCCGGAGGAGGCAAGCCGAGCCGCGTCGGGTGCAGCGTCCTCGGCAGCCGAGTTCAGGAGCAGCGCTGCAGCTCCTCGAGAGCGGCTCTGGCCCGGACCTGGGAACCGGGTGGGACGCAGCTGGAGGGCGGAGGGCAGAGCGCAGAGCCGGCCCAGCTCCGCCCACGCCCCACCCCGCCCGGCCTGGCGCGTGCTGCCCGTGCAGCCGCGAGGGGGCGCCGCTCCGCTCCGCGCTGGTCCGGCCGACGCCAGGCGCACGGCGGGCTGCGCTGGGATCCGAGCGCTGCGGGAGGCGGGCAGCGCCAAGGCGGCTGCAGTGAGCGCTGCGCATGGGCCGGGCGCAGGCTTCGGGCGCGCGGGGAGCCGGTGAGTGGTGCGTGGCCAGGCGGGGTCCCGGGCTGCGGACGAGGGGAGCGGGGCGCGGACGGGCCGGACCCTGCGAGGGCGGCGACGGTGCAGGGGCGCGCGGTGACAGCGGCTGGGGGGCGGCGGAGAGGCTGTGGGACGCCCCTGAGCGCCCGCAGACCGGAGGGTGCGGCCCCGCCCCTCCACGCGCCCGAGCGGCAGCGTTTCTCTCCGCCGTCTGGGTCCCAGCCTCGCCCCGCGGTGGGCCTCAGTTTCCCTGTCTGCGGAATGGGGACCGCAAGGCCGACCTGCAGGGCGCTTGCGACGAAGGGGGCGCCCTTGTCTCTGGGGAGCGGGTGTTGTCCCTGAAGCTGGAATCGCGGGTGAACGTGGGCTGGGGTGTGGCCCTTGCGCCGTGGCCACCCACGGGATCGAGGGGCCCCTCGGCGTCCTCTGGGGAGACAGACGGAGACGGGGGAGGCTGCGAGGGCCGAGGCGAAGGCTGTTCCGGTCCCCGCTCTGAACCTGGCTCGGTGGCGGAGTCTCCTCAGCCCTAGCTCCCCCGGCTGCGGGGCACCTGCCTCGGCGAGACCAGAGCAGGGTCCTGGGGAGGCCCAGCCGCCAGGCGGGCTGCTTCCGGTCCCCGCTGCAGCTGAGGCGTGAAGAGGGGCGGAGCGGTGGGTGCCAGGCCCGAGAGGCGGCGAGGGGAAGCCACGTGCCGGGGGACCGGTCAACCTGCGTGCCGCCTGCCGCCTGCCCCTGCCCGGGAGCGCTCCGAGCGGCAGGGGGAGCGGGAAGCCGGAGGCAGAGCTGGGCAGGGGACCCCAGGTCCCGTCAGACGGGGAGCGAGGTGACGGGTGCCAGAGATGGGGCAGGGCGGACACCCCCGAGCGCGACCTCCGCCCGTGCGGGGCAAGGCCGAGGCGCACACAGGGGCGGGGCGGGAGGCTGGGGAGGCCGCCGTGCTCCGCTCCCTGAGCCGCAGCCGCGAGGGCCTGGGTCCTGCTCAGCGACGGGGGCTCGGGTCTCATCCGGCGCTGCCCGCTCTCCGCGAGTCCGAGCCCCGCACAGGCTCCGCGCCCCCCAGGCCGGTCTCCGCGCCCTGATCCTGGTGAGCCGGGTGTCTTGGACCGCCCTTTCCACCTCTCCCTTGTCCTCAGCCCCGAATCCGGAGTTGACCGTTGCTCCCGAAGCCCTGGCTCCCTTAGGGGCGCGGGCTGGGAAAGCCACTGCCTGGGCCCAGGTGAGTCCCTGTTCACTTTGGCCTCTTGGACCCAGGCTGTGTCAGCCAGGCATCTTTTTAAAACTAGAAGTTAATTTTCCCATCTCTTTTCTCACATTAAGAACATGGTTCCCCCAAACACAGCATAGCAAACCCTCTGTTTAGTACTAGAATACACCCAAAATAGTTTCAGACTTACTACATCTAATCCACTACCAACCAAGACCTACCAGGTCAGCTTCAGGATTTCTTTGGGTGAGCAGTCAGAGTACTGTGTGATTATCTGCTTGTTATAGCATTTGTTTGCATTCAATTTAAGTTTTCCCCTTTGGTCTGTGTGATATAATTATGGTTTTTGAATATGTAAAACTTTTATATGGTTCAAAGGTCAAAGCTGTACCAAAGCTACCAGGTCTCAGTCCCAGCCCTGTGTCTTCCTCCCTCTTGCATGTGACAGACAGGTAACCATTTAAGTTTCTGGTTTATAGCTGGCATGGTGGTGCACGCCTGTGATCCCAGTGCTCAGGAGGCTGAGGCAGGAGGATCACCGCAAATCCAAGGCCAACCTGGATTACAGAGTGAGTCCAAGGGCAGTCTGAATTACATAGCAAGACCCTGTCTCAAAAAAAAAAAAATAGTTTCTGGTTTATCTGTGTTTCTTTTTGCAAAACAAGCCATTTATGCATTATGACAAAATTAACATATACCTCTCCTTCCTTTTCTTTTTCAAATTAAAAATATCTCTTGAAAATCACTTCGCATTCTTTTTCACAGCCGCCCCACACAGCACTATGCACCTGTACTGTGGCAATTTACCTTGTGTCCTGCGGATGGGTGTTGGCCGTTTCAGGCCTTTGTTACAGGAACGGGGAGGAAGGGCTCGCTCTGCTTGTGGCCATGTGTGGAGGCGGTGTGTGCGGCGCAGGAGCAGGTGTGTGCTAGTTTTGCTGTAAAATCCCACGTTCCGTGTGGAGCGCTGCACTGCCGCCCGGTCCCCCACCGGCGTGTGTGTCTCCCCCGTGCCGCACTGCTGATCCGGGCATTGAGAAGTCATGTTTCAGTTTCCCTTTCCATGATCAGGGTGACACTGGAGATGTTTTCATCTTCCTGAGCCACTTAACACTTTCTGTGAATTATCTGTCCATATATTTTGCCTGTCTTCTTTTGGATTTTTGGTGTTTTCTCCCTTTGATTAAAAAGTTTAAAATGCATATGAAAGAGATTGCTCTTTAATCCTTATTACACTCTTACTATATTTTAATCCTCATTATTCTGCAATTATTTCTGTATTTTCTTATATTGCTTTTATGGGTTCTATCACGAAGAGCTTCTCTTTTTTTTTTTTTTTTTTGCGGAACTGGGGATCAAACTCAGGACCTTGTGCTTGCCAGGCAGGTGCTGGCGCCACTGAGCTAAACCTCTGGCCCTAGAGCTTCTCATTTTTGTGTAGTTGGTTTAATCACAGTTTTCTTTGATTATATCAAGGTTTAAATCATTGTATAGAAAGACATTTCCCAGTGTAGTTATAAAGAACTTCATTCATGCTACTACTTCTTCGGTTTTGTACCTAGTGCGTAGATCCAAGGTAACCTTTCTCCAAATGTCTGTCTCTGTGTCAACACCACTTATCAAAAAGGACAGCTTGCCTTTAGTGATTGGAAATATCCTTTGGTCACTTGCTAATCATCCAAAAGCACTGGCCCTGTTTCCAGTCTTCCTTGCGGGTAGGTGTGTCAGTGTGTGTGTGTGTGTGTGTGTGTGTGTGTGTGTGTGATGTGTTGGCAAGACTGTTCAAGATTATTGCAAGGGAGACAGCTCGAACTGAACTCTTCAATGTGTTTTAATACCTGGTAGGGCTGGCTCCTTCCTCCTCTTCTTCCTTTTCTTTTTCAAGGGTTCCTAACTATTCCACCATGTTGCTGATATTTTGGGGGGATCATAGTAAATGTATGTGTTAACGTCAGGATAATTGACATATTTGTGAAATTGAATCATCAGAAACAGGAAAATGTCTTTCTGCTTGTTCGTGAGTGTTTTAAAGTTTTCCTTGTACAGTATAGGGGTTTCACGTTTCTTACTAAGTTTATTCACGAGTATTTTGCCTTATTCCTACAATTATAAATGTTCTTCTTCCATTAACCCTCTACTTATTGTTCTTATATATGCTATCTTTTTACCTCACTAAATCTATTTGTTGTTAGTTTTATCATTGATTCTTTTTTTTTGGTACTGGGGATCGAACTCAGGTCCTTGTGCTTTCAAGGCAGGTTTCAGAACCACTGAGCTAAATCTCCAGCCCTATCATTGATTCTTTTAGTCCAGATATTCTGTCATCTCCAAATACAAGTAGTTTTGCTTTTTCTCTACTGGTTTCTTGTGCGTTTGTTGCTTTCTTTTATCTAACTAAGTTGGCTAAATACCTACAGTTCAGTGTTAAACACTGGATACAGTGGCCATCTCTGCCTTGTTCCTGAGCTTAGTAAAAAGCCCTGTAGTGCTTCTCCCATTAGAAAAGATGCTGTCTTTATGATGGGAAGAAGGGGCAGGTAAAGGAGTGCCTCAGTCCATCTTCTGCTTCTGAGGGAATACCGAAGACGTAATTTATAAACAGCATGTTTACGTGGTTTCGAGTTCTGGAGGCAGGAGAGGAGACACACCTGACAGGGCCTTTGTGCTCCATCTCCCACAGCAGAGGGAGCGGGGAGTGGTCAGCTGCTTCTGTAACAGCCACACTCGAGAGGTAGCAAACCCAGCCCCATGACAACAGCTGAATCCATCCATCCGTGCTGACCCTCATGACCTAGCCACCTCCTAACACTTACGCTGAGGGTGAGCTTGGGATGCATTCCAGCCAGACCAGGGGTATGCATTCATTCCTAACTTCCTGGAAATGTTTTTATTGTAGCCATATATGGAGATAGCATATTCTTTCTCCTCAGCTCTATTAATATGGTGAATCATCTTAGTGGATTTTCTAGTATCAAGTCTGAGGTGAGGGAGAGGCAAGAGAGGAGACATAAAATGAGTGAATATTGGTACTAAGCCATCCTTGCATTCCCGACACCAGTCCCTCTTGGGCGTGAGGTATTCTGTTTTAATATGGCTGTGTTCGTTGTCTCTGCTGTGTAACCAGTTATGTCAACTGACTGACTTGAAGCAGTGGATAACTGTGGCTCAGTTATCTCTACAAGGCTTCACTGGGTCCTTGCTGGTGTTGCCCAGGACTGGGTTCTCATCTGAGGCTGAATTGGGGAGGGATTGGCTTTTCCACTCTGGCTGGCAGCACTTAGTTCCTTGTGGGCAAAGGGCAGAAAGCTTAAATGTTTGCTACAGGTCACCCACAAACTCCAGTTCCTTGTGAGCCTCCCCAAGGTGGCTGCTTAGTCCACTAAGCTAACAAAAGAGGTTCTAGGGCCAGGGATTTAGCTCAGTGGTTCTGCCACTGAGGAACCTGCAAGGTCAGGAACTGCAAGGTCCTGCAAGGTCCTGAGTTCGATCTCCAGTACCAAAAAAAAAAGAGGTTCTAGAGCAAATCTACCAGGATCTATGCCATAGATAACCTAACAAAACGTAATAGCCGGACAGAGCGATGTCACCTGTCACGGACATGTTCTCCCATCAGTCAGTCGAAGATCCACCTCTCCCGGGGGTGTGGGAGCAGGAGACAGGGTTCAGAGTGGCCGCGTGGAGACCAAGTCCTGGGTGGTCGGACTCCGACTGCTAGAGCATGCCTGGTCCTCCTTGATTGGATGAAGCTTGACATTTGACAGGTCCTGAAGAGCTCTTGAGTGGATCATGC